AAAAAAACAAACAAAAAAAACTAAACAAAGCCCAAAGGAAAAAAAAAAAGCATGAAAACACATATATATGCAGAGACACATACACACTTACACACACAAACCCCATAAAAACACAAAGTAAGAAACCAGAATAAGATAAGCACAAAACAAGTAAGGTTAAAAAAAAAAAGAAAGAAAGAAACAGGAAAAAAAGAAAGGAAAAGTAAACCAAAATCTCAAACAAAGCATTATGAGACAAAACATCCCCCCAAACATTAACTGCTGTGTATGGGGCCTTCCCTAAGTTGGTTTGTATACTTAGTGAGATACTGTTGAAGGAAACTAATTTTTCTCCTTTGCTAGCAGTTGACCATTTGAGATAGCTTCCAGGTTAGGGTTGAGGGTTCGTATCTAGTTTCCCTCTCAGTGCTGAGACCCCCTCTGGCTTGAAGCTACACGTGCTGTCAGACTCTGAGTTCAGGCATGCATTGGTCCTGTTGTGTCTGCATGGCACTGCTTCCCTGTTGTCTTCCACCATCTTCAGCTCTTACAATCTTTCCATCTCCTCTTCTGCAGAGTTCCCTGAGCCCTGCTTCCCAACCCGGTGTGGCCACAGGCTGAATTCCTAACTGCTCAGCCATCTCTCCAGCTCCAAGGCCATCTCCACCTTTTACAAACATTTAAGGACCATCTGTTTTTTCCTAGCGATGGGGGTTGAGATAGAAATATGCTCAGAAAGAGATTATCAATAGAGGAGCAGGAAATCCTGTCTTTAGAAACTAAAGGGTAACAGAGTAGAACACTGAATGTCCTCTTCTGGCCTTCACGTTCCACAGATGTCCCACACATCTATACCATATTCAAATATATCTAAACACAAAATAAAAAAGATGGCAGTACTGAAATGAGGAATGATTTTTCTGCTGAATCACTTACTGGGTTGATGTGGATGATAGTTTAGGACTGTGGTCATGGTTGACTCTGCTTCAGGGTCAGTCTGTTGATGACCATGATAAGCCCTGGTTGGAATGGTTTGAAGGCATTGTGGCATTAAAACAGCCTGTCCGTGCTTTTTGAAACACCTCCCAAAGTGAAGCCCTGAAGAATGCTCTGCAAACAGTTTCTCTGTCCTGCCTGCTGTGGCTGAATGTTTAATAAACCTTCTATCTCTGTCTTTTTCTGAAAGGTGGTTTCTTTCAACACCCTTATTGCTGGACTCTTACTGCCTTCCTAGATGGCAGTTGAAATACATTCTTTTCTTCTTGAAACTCTGATGGTGTATACACATGGAGAACATCCAGACCTTGGCATGGCCTAGGTCATTTGGACTACTCCAGATTGCCAGATATTATTTTGAATTTTTGAGACAGGGTCTTGGGTAGCCAAGGCCTTGAACTTGGTGATGTTCTTGACTCACTCTCCTGATTGTTGGGATTCTAGGTTTGTGCCACCAAACCCAGGGTCCTCCCTTTTGAGAATCACCAGATGTGGTCTCTCTGGCCTCTGCTGTCTACTTGACCTCTGCACCTCTGTGTCAATGCCACAGCCTTCATCATGGCAGCTGCATTTAGTCTTAATGCCTGACACTAATGCCCTTTCAAGTTAGCCATGTTGACAATTCTAATTCATCTGTGTTTCTGGCTTGTTTGGAGTCTCTTGTCTACAGAAACCACATCTTAAGTAGGGGAGATAGCTCAGTCAGTAAAGAACCTCCTACAAAAAATGAGGGCCTGAGTTTGGCTCTCTGGTACCCACGTAAAAGATAGGCATGGTCAGTCATGTCTGTAACCACAGCCCTGGTGATAGGGAGGTGAACAAATTTGGATCCCCGGACCTGGTTGCCAATCAGAGAGCTCTAGGTTCATTGAGAGAGCCCATCTCTTAAAACTGAGGTGGAGAGTGAAAGAGGAAGACACCAGGTGTCAGCATCTCAGTCACCCCCACATATATACCATACACACACCCAGAGAAAAAAGGAACTGACACGTGAATGTAAAGTTCTAGAGGATAAGTTGTGTTTTTTGGTATCTGCAAACCAGAGACAATTAAGAATAAACAATTGGGAAAGTGCTATTAAATTTAGAAAGGATGTTAATGGACACAAGGTCCATTTCTCTGATTTCCTTTATTTTCCCCTCTCCAGGTCCAGAAAGCTTTTCTGGGCTCTGTGCTAATGGAGGAAACCCTTCTTCAGAGCAGGGCCTCCTACTCTCTGCCTGCCCTCATCTGGAGAGTGTCTCTGGGTGCAGATGCCTCTAACCATATCTGGAGTATAACCTTTGACACAGTTCCCTGCTAATGCTCTCCCCACTGCTGCCCACTGCTGGATAATTAGGTACTGGGTTCCCATTCATCTGATAGGACCGTGCTGCCAAATGCAAATAAATCCTCCCTGGCACTTCAAGCCCCAGCCAATAGTGCACATCTACCCTGGAAACCCTCCGCCCACTCCCCAAGAACTATATAGCCTTTGTTCACCTCAAATAAAGTTCACCATCTGGCATCATTGGTTTCCTTGGCTTTGTGTACGTTAAACCTGGTCTTTCTAACCACACAGTGTTTATTTTATACCGGGAATGTTTATTGTGGGTACGTTGCCTTGTGGAGGTCAGAGAGCAACTTGTAAGCTTGATCTCAGTGTGGGTCCTGGGGAACAACTCTGGTCTTCAGAGGTTTGGTGGCAAGTGCTGTTTCCTGCTGAATGAAGCACCATCTTAACACTTTTCTTCCCAGGGTGTCAGCAAGGGAGAAGCCTGTCTTAAAGCAGTTTCTAAAAGAAGTCTGAAGAAATTGCTGGAAATCTCCCAGTGGAGAACTTTGAAGTTGTCATGACTATGTGTCTTCAATTCAAGGACAAATAAAAGAATAAAGAACTGACAACACAACTGGACAAAGCGTCTTTCTATAAAGCCTAAAAAAACACAACAGAAAACTATTTTACCTTTACATATTTTGAGAGACTTTACATTTTTTTAATTTTTTTTTTTAATCTTTATAGGGGCGCATGTGTCCCAGGCTGGCCTTGAGCTTGCTGTGTAGCTGAGGATTGTTATGTGGCTCTGGTAGTTCCAGGATGGCCTGGAACTTCTGACCCTTCTCCTTCCACCTTCTGAGTGCTGGGATTACAGACTTGCAGCAAACACACATGGCTTTATGTGGTACCAGGGGTTGAACCCAGGGTAGATACTAGACAGAATTCGACCAAGTGAGCTCTAGCTGAAGCATGGAGTTAATTTTCTTTTAAATTTTCTATAAATTTGTTTACTTGTCTAATCTACTTCTTCATATATATATATATATATATATATATATATATATATATATATATATATGCTAGCAGGAAGAGAATTTTTGTAAATGTTGGCAGTCATTTAAGACTTTATTATATCATTATCAATTAATTAATTAGTTAATTAATCAATTTAAGTCAGTTGTTTCTTTCTACTAATGTGACGTTGGGGATCAAACCATCTCACCAGTCCATGCTGGTGAGATTTTAAACTTTTATTATTTTATGTATATGGGTATCTTGGTTGCATGTGTGTGATATACATATCACACACAAATCAGAAATCAGAAGAGGGCACCGGGTTCTCTGGAACTGGAGTCACAATTGGTTGTGAGTTACCATGTGGGTGCTGGGATTTGAACCTGGGTCCTCTGCAAGAATAAGTGCTCTAAACCACTGAGCTATATCTTCAGCCCTGGATTAGCAATCTTGAAGGTGGAGTAGGAAGATTTTGACAGAAACCAGCCTAGACAAGACACCTTTAAAGTACAGTACACTATGTTTTTAAATGTTTGCAGCTTTGAAAACAAATGTTACTTTATTACTTATACTTTCTTTTACAATAGTATCATGGCATAAAATTCCCTTTCAAGTTAGATGTATCATATCCCATGCTAGGTGAGCCTACCCTTCTGGGAAAAAAAAAAAAAAAGAAACATTTTGGAAAATGTATTTCTTAGGTTGTTACAAAACAACAACAACAATAACAACAAACAAACAAACAAACAAACCCCTTACATATATATGAAGGTAAAAATACAACATCTTCCTTTTCTGATTTAGGTAAGAACGACTGTACTGGTTTGAAGGAGAAATGTCCCTAATAGGCCTCAGATATTTGAAGATTTGTTCCCAGTTGGTGGTACTGTGTGTGGGGTTCAGGAAGTGAGCCCTTGCTGGAAGAAGCATGTCACTGGGGGCGGGCTTTGAGTGTATATACCCTCCCCCTACTTTCAGTTCTCTCTCTCCTACTCTTTCTCTCAGTTGAGAAAGATGTGAACTCTCAGCTTCTTCCTCCTTTGCCATTCCTGTCCACCATATCAAACTCTTATCCACCCTGGAAGCATAGCCAAAACAAACATTTTCTTCCATAAAGTTATTCATCTTGTTTTTAAATTTTTATTTATTTTTATCACAGAACTGAACAGAAAGGTAGCTAGGACAATGACCAATGCAATGACTTTAAACCATACAGCTTTGTATAATGAATAAATTATTCTGTATATATTGATGGACACAGGAAATTATTACAGCAGCAGTTTTCTTCAACCAGCTAGTACCTCAGTGACACAGAGAGACTGATTTATTCTTAAGCTGTAGGCACTATGTTGGGCGGACTGTGAGCTCTTCCAATCCTACTACCCTTAAAACCCACACAAAAGCCATTTACTTGCCAATCTGATGGCTCCCAGGCAGCTTCTACTCCATCATCTGTCCTTATGGTGCACTTCCTTGATCTTGTGCTCCTAGACCATTCCATACACTTGCAGAACTACGTCCTTCTCCTCTTCCCTTACTTCCTCTTCCTCTTGGTTTCTCGGAGACTCCAAGCCTGGGAAGCGAAGCCCCACCTACCTCTCTTCTGCCCAGTCACAGGCTTCAGCATCTTCATTAACCAATCAGGGATAACTGGGGAACCTTCTTTACATCACATGGATACAGGAGATCGTTCAACATTCCTAACAATGCCTGTGGCAGAGAGGTTACCAAATCTCTGGGTACTGAAACCAGCATCTGAAACCACTGTGCGCAATACTCTTCTCCTGAGAGGACTTAATTCCAAAGGGCCAGACAGTCCCAATCAAGGTCACATAGCCGCAGTAGGAATTCCCCTTTCTGGCTTTAAAAGGAGCCTTCAAGCTCCCCTGGAGGTCCGCGGCTGTTTTGTGAAGGTGGTAACCCCCCCCCAATGCTGGAATTCTCCGCAGAATAAACGCTCTTCGTTTTTGCATACCATCTGAGTCTGAGGTCTTTCTTCAGTGATTCACCGGACCCTAACATTCCAACACAGCTTTTCTTTCTTCCCTCTCCTCAGATTTAGAGAGCAACTAAACCCAGGGTTCTGCCCATCGCCCTAAATGTCCTACTCTAAATAACACAAATTAACCATCTTACAGTTGGTTAGATACAGTTCTGTAGGGTAGGAGTCCAATACGGGTACCACAGAGTTAAAACTGGATGTAGATCGTGTAGGGGTTCTGAGATTCTCCATTTCCTTGCGTTTTCCAGCTTTGAGGGGCTTTGCCTGTGCACCCCCGACCCTGTAGCTTGTTTTAGTTACTGTTCTGTTGCTGTGATAGAAAACTGACAATAAGAAACTTAGGGGAGAAAAGGGCTTTTGTGTGTGGGGTGGGGTGGGGGGAGGCAGGGCTTATGGTTCCGGAAGGGATACAGGCCAACACTCGGTGGGGAAGGCGTGTCCTGCCTGGCACTCTGAAAGCAGAGAGATCACAATTCATCAGCATACAGGAAGCGGAGAGAATCAACAGGAAGCGGGGACAGGCACTAAACCTCAAACCCCTCTTCCAGTGATAGACTTCCCCATCAAGGCTCCATCTCCTAAAAGTTCTGCAGCTTTCTCAAATAGCAGCCCTAACTGGGGACCCAGTATTCAAACTGTATGGCTCCTACCCTACCCTAATCTTGACTGGCTGGCTACGTTCAAGCCCACCCTAATCTTGTTACCTATGAGCACAGGATGTTGGAAGGCTTGAAGTCTCTCCTCTGGTGGTTGACTAAGACCAGTTGGGCCAGTTGCCAGAGTGATTAGACCCTAAAGCATGTCTTGAAATACCAAAAAGAAAAAAAGAAAAAGATTAAAAAAAAAAAAATCGAGACAGGAATGCTATATAATGAAGGCGATGGCCGACGGGGATTTCGAGTGTTCCACCATGCCCAGCGGCATGCTTTTTACTTTTGAATAAAGATGGTTTCCAGTCCGCAGGAGCTCTGCTTCCTGGTTCTGGCTGGTGGCTCCCGGGGGTGTTATCCAGCGTGCTCGCTGGCCTCCGCTATTTCCTAATCTCTTAGTTGACTGGATTTAGCCCCCCTACCCCCCCACCTGATCTTCAAGCATTACATCACCGTGGATACGCCTTACTTTTGTTAAAAGTTGCTCGCCCGGACGGAGTTTAAAAGACCACAGTCCTTCTTTCTTTCTTTCTTTCTTTTTTTTTTTTCAGTAGCTAGCGACCATTTACCGCTTAAGGCTTTCCAGGCGTTGCGTTCTGACTTTCCACCCCGCGGTTTGCTCTACAAACCGTACCGGGATCTGCAGAGCTGGACCGGCTGTGCAGTTTCTCAAGCCCACGCTTCACGCACTTCTTCAAGCACGGGTTAATGACCTCGATGCTTTCCTTTTTTCGTCCCCCTTCCGGGCTTATTCTAAGAATTATCTAAAACAATGGATGAGCGAGTGCCCAAAGTTGAACATGCTACGTTTTTAATCACTGAAAAGAAAACGAAACCCCGCAACGAGCCTCTGTCAGGCTCATCCGCACGGGAGTATTTTTTTCCAAAAGCTACTCGGCCAGGCTCGGGAGGCGACAAAAGAAGACACAATCGCCCCTGGCGGCAGGCCGGAAGGACTCCCGCAGCTTCCTGAGTCGATTCCCGAGAAGGTGTCACCGCGGGCAGGGACTTTGGCCGCAGGTCGTGCGGCGGCCGGCGCCACAGCAGCCACTGTGCGGCACGCAGGCCTCGAGGTCCCCGGGGCGCGCGCGGCTCGGTCCCCAACCGGCCCGTCCTCCATCGCGCATCCCCACCCGCTCCCGGCGGCTCCTTCCTGCCGCCGCCCCGCTCAGCGACTCCGCCGCGCCCCGTCCCAGGCTGGAGGAGGCGCAGGCGCTCCCCGGAGCGTGGCACCCGAGGCCGGCGCAGCCCTGCGTACGTTTCCACCTTTATTTCCATCTGCTTTCCCCGGAGCCTCCCGCTGCTGGCGTTCCACTACACCGGCGCCGGCTTTGGAGGACCCCGGGTTTCCGGGGTGACTGACACCCGCCCCGCGCTGGGGCCGCAGCGCCGGCCGGGGTCCTTGTCCCACCGCCGCGGCCGAGGTCCCAGGGCGGGTGATGGCATCCCGGGGCTTCCTGGGGCTTTGCGTGCGCGGCTTCGCTCCCTGCCGAGCGCAGGGATCAAGCAAGGCGAAAAAGTGGGTTCTGCGGCCCTGCCACCTTTACGCTTCAAGGTCAACTGCTGTTTCTCATTCAGTGTTTAGAACTTCATGGCCCCTGTGCCACACCCGTGAAAGCTGAAAAAAATAGCTTTCTGGAAAGATTATTTACTCGTCGAGAGAGGTGTTGACTTGTAGGGCTATCTCAGTTACTTCTCAGATTGAAAAAAAAAATCATTTATGTGAAATTGCACATGCAAATAGCGATTTTTGAGATCGTGTTAATAATATATTTAAGATTATAAACAACCAGGAGGAGTGCATTTAAGTATTATATTTTATGTTCTTTTTGAAGGAGGATTTAGATATTTGATGATAGCTTTGAAATTAAGAATCAGTCAGCAAAGAAAAAAATATTTTGCTTTCAGTTGTAGATTGTGGCAATCCGTATGTGTTGGGCAGCATAGAACAATGCTCTATATGTCTTATATTATTCGAAAGACTTGAGTGCTGGTTGTTTTCTGTCAACTTGGCACAAACGTAGACATTTGGGAGGAGGAAATCCCTACTGAAGAATTGCCCCGGTCAGATTAGTCTGTAGGCAAGTCCGTGGGGCATTTTCTTGATTCATGACTGATGTGGTAGGGCCCTGACCCCTGAGGCAACTTTGGGCAGATGGGGTGGTCCCGCAGTATATGAAAAAGCAAAGCGAACAAGCCAAGGGCGAAAGCCAGTGTTCCTCCGTGGTCCCTGCTTCAGTTTCTGTCTGAAGATTGCCTTGAGTCCCTGCCTTGTTTTCCCTCAGGGGACTGTATTTAACCTATGGTATGTAACCAAATAAGTCCTTTCCTACCAAGCTGCTTACGGCTATGGTGTTTATATGAAATCAAACTAAGACAACTTGTTTGTGATGTGGGGACTCAAAAGTCTTCTCCATCGTTGATGCACATTCCCAGCCATAGAAAGAATAGTCTTGGGCAACATAATGCCAGTTATTAAAACAAAAACAAAACAAACCAATTTTTTTTTTTTTTTTTACTTTTATGGTCAGGTTGCTTGTTGATACTTCACTAAGTGAAATGTAATTGAGCATCAGAACATATTTTCTGTTTTATTTCAGGTGACTATAGTCTGATTTTGGAAAGTGGATGCCAGCCTGGAGCCTTGGCACCCAACTCAGCCCAGAAGTAGTGTTCTTTAAAAGGTGAGGTGACTCTCTGGGCAAACTGGGCTCACAAAGTTCTCTCTCTATCTCTGTTGCTTTAAAAAAAAGTATAAAGTATTGTAGTACTGTGTTATGGGTGTGGTAGAGTGTTTGGCTAGCATTTTGAGGTCCTGAATTTCATCTACACATCTACACACACACACACACACACACACGAACCAGTTCCTCAGATATTTTAGTTTGAATGATGACTTCCCCCATGCTTGGATCAACTGAGTGGATGGGTGAACCAAGACATTACTTCAGTCTTCTGCTTATTTCTCTCTGAAAGCTTTTTCCGAAGAGGCTTAGGGGAGGCTTGTCATTACTTCCTCATAATGGTGAGTGAGCCTGGGATTTCCTCTGAAGAGTGACTTACTGGATGAAAAAATTGTTCTGTGTTCTTACTTACCAGTCTTTAAACCTTTTTGTCAAAGCCAAACAAGAGGAACTTCTGTCTTTCTACTTGTTGCTATAACTGTACTTCCATTTTTTAAAGTCCTTAGTGTCAGGTAATTTTGTAAGGTGGGGGAGGGAGGGTATATCAAACACACACACACACACACACACACACACACACACACACACACACTCTAGATTTAAGATTGGGTCCCTACCTGGTAGATACTAGGCACATACCCTACTACTGAAGTAAACCCCAAGGCCTTTACACATTTTGAGTCAGAATTTGACCAAATTGCTAGGACTGACCTTGAACTTGTGGTTCCCTCAGCTTCCTGAGTAGGGCTGGGATTATGGACTCCTCTATTTCCAGCTCTTGTACTGTTCTGAATGGCATGGTGGCTTTGGTGATGCCCTTCCCATTATCTCTACATGACTGAGAAGCAGGGACATATTTTGCCTGTAACACTGTAGACAACATTGGGAATAGGAGCTCAGGAGGTTTTGAATAGAGGAAGAAAAGAAATTTAGAATCTAGTGTCTGAAGCTTTCCAAGTGTATGTTCTTCTGTATCCTAGCTGGCTTCACTGTGTAGTGCAGGCTAGCCTTGGAGCATTCCTTCTGTCTCAGCCTCCAGAGTACTAGAATTACAGACACCAAGCATGGCCCCCACCCCCACCCCAATGATCACCTTATATTGGAGAGCTGATTTACATGGCACTAAAGTTTTCCTCATGAGAACATGAAGTAGCCCTAGCCTGCTGGCTTGCTCTCTGGTCCTTTTATGTCTCCTATTTTTCTGTCCCTCTTTTCTTTCCTTGCTTTTAAGCCTCCTCATCAGATGTCCCTGAGTCAAATGTTTTTTTTTCTTTTTCTTTTTGCTATGTGGAAAGAAGGTAGACATCTGAAGAGAGGGATGGAATTTCTTCTTCTGTGTTGTGTGTCCCTCCGCAGTTGAGGGCTCACAGGTTAGGTCCTGCAGCAGTGCATTCACTGGACAGCTGTGTCTAGGCCTTCGCTCTGCTTCTGACACAGGGAACCCTGAGGTCTGCACCTCTGTGTCTCTTTCTATCCTGACACCTGCCCTCCAGCCTTCCTAGCCTCCTACTCGCTCACACCCATAGCTCCTTAGTCACAGCTGCCCAAACAGGGTTCTCAGGTGAAAGGAAGTGGGTGTACGAGACTAATTATCAAGCCACCATTCTGGGATTTCATCATCTTGGGAAACCTGGAAGCTTTTTGATGACTGTCAGCCAGGTGAGACTCCACTGGAGGGCCACACAGGTGATGCTATATTGGTACCCTTGGTCTCAAGTGTGATGCAGGCCAGAGGGATGGCGACAGATGGAGCCTGCTGCTTTCTCGTTGTGGGCATCCACTCAGCACTAGCACTGCTGGGGGAGGGGAGGGGAGGGAGGGAGGTGCAGTGTGGTTGCCCATCCTGTTGCCTAGGCCAGCCTTGGTTTACCGAAGTTCCCAGGAGGGAAAACAACAACAAGGCCACCCCTACATTAAGCATTCTACAGGTCTGATCAGTAATTGTGGAGAACAGGAATATGGCGGACCTAGGGCAAGTGGACCCGTCTCATTGCAGATCTACTTAGTCCCCTAAGTAGACATTTGGCTAACTCTGTATTTGACCTCATGTTAGTGGACAGGCAGGTCCACTAGCCTGCCTTTCAGGGTCCCAGCAACCTCTTATGTCATCACCTGCCGCCGCCACCAGGTGCACAGCAGGTGTGTGCACAATAAAAGGACCCCATCTCTCTCAGTCTCTTTCTCTCAACCTTTTTATCTCTCTGTTCTTCCTCTGTCCCCTCGCTCTTTTTCTTTCTTTCTCCCTCTGACATGGGCTTCCTCCTCTCTCCCTTTCCCTGTCCTCTTTCCCCCTCCAACTTTCCCACAATAAACTTCCTTATACTGGATATGCTACGTGGCTTTAATCATTATCATAACATTGGTGTTGTGACTTGGATAAAAGAGGAATTGCTTTCCATTTCATCCATTACTCTTAGTGTTCCTGAATAATATTAGAAACTTGATTAGAAAGGCAAAAAAAAAAAAAAATTGAAGCCCTTCAGGTTGGGTTTTAGGTGTAGAAGCTGGAGACTTCCCAAAGGGGAACGAGAAAATCTGAAGACATCCCAGTTCTGTGGATGAGAAAGGAGAAGGAGGAATGACACAAGCCAGTCAGTCCTCATGCACTCAACAGGGTCAGAGCTAAGCCTGGCTAAGCCCGGAGAGACTCAGTGCCTGGTACTTAGTAACAGGACTTTTGTAGAAGCCAGAAGGCAAGGGGAAAAAATGAGTTTTCTCATTAGAGGATGTCATCTATGGGAAAAGATTGAGGAACAGAGTCAGGAAAGCCATTAGGGCCTAGGGGAGCTGTGGATTTACAGGCAGCTTCTGAGTGGAAGTGATGGAGGAGCAGGAAGGAGAGCAGGCATACAGTAGCACAGTAGGGCCTAAAATAAAATGCAGGGTTGCAGAGACAGGTGACACTTACCTATCAGTGGTGGATGGAGTGGTGAGCTGGAAGGAAGATTTGTTGCAGGTGGTGGCAAGTTGGATACACAGTCTCAAGGTGTAGCATAGGCCCACAAGAAGCACCAGGAGAGAAAGCAAATCTGTTTTAGGTGGGTGTAGAAGGGATCCTGGTGTGCCAAGACAATGGGAGAGCCCGCTGAGTTTCACAGCACCAATGTTATAGTAATGGTTAAGACTACACAACATATCTGGTATGAGGAAGTTTGTTGTGGGAAAGGGGCACCAATGTTATAATAATGATTAAGCCACGGTAACCTATCTGGTGTAAGGAGGCTTATTGTTGGAAAGGGGGATGGGGGAGAGAGAAGGCAGGGAAGGGAAGAGAAATTAGGGCCTCCAGGAGGAGGGATAGAGGTGGGTGATTGGGCATATAGATAGAGCCATGAAGGGACAGAGCCTTCACGGCAGAGGACAGAGAGTCCAAGACAGAGAAAGAGAAGGAGAGGGAGAAGGAGAGGGAGAGAGAGAGCACTCTGGTGGCAGCCTTTTTATCCGGCACACCCTCGCAGTGGTGGCAGGTGATGACATAAGAGGTTGGTAGGACCCTGAAAGGCAGGCTAGGGGGACCACCTGCACACTAACACCTAACACCCTTGTGACTCTTACCTAAGTAAATCCCTCTGTAGTATATGGTAGTTTGAATGAGAATGGTACCGATAGCTCATAAATTTGCATTCTTGGTCCCCATGTAGTGGAACTATTTGGGAAGGATTAAGAAGGGTGGCCTTGTTGGGGTAAACTGTGACCTTGTTGGAGGAGGTGTGTCTCTGGGGGTGGGATTTGAGGCTTCAAAAGGCTTCAGTGTTCTCCCTCCTCAGCAGGTTTTTTTGGAAGTAGCTGAGGAGGCCACAGGTACCTTGGCATCGGCAGTGGGAGGCTGTGTGCAGGCTCTGGCCAGGGGGGGGTGTGGTGGCTGTACTGGCCCTGGGCGCTCCTTCACCACAGGGCCTCACTGTAGCTTTGGCTTGAGACCACTGCTCCATCCACCAGCAGCTGCAGGGGCTAGTGGACCCAGCCCGGAAGGTGAGCAAGCTGCAGGCGGCCAAGTCTGTCTTTTATAAGCATTGCCACCTGGGCATGATGGCACACTCCTTTAATCCCAGCACTTAGGAGGTAGAGGCAGGTGCATCTCCGTGAGTTCCAGGCCAGCCTGGTCTACAAATCGAGTCTAGGACAGCCAGAGCTACACAGAGAAACCATGTCTCAAAAAAACAAAACAAAAAAAGTTGTCTTGGTCATGGTGTCTCTTCACAGCAATAGAACACTAACTAAAACAGGGTATAAGAACAGATATCCTGGCTTCTACTAACCCCAAAACTAAGAATGTATTGAGAGGCTTTTGGTGTCCTGCTTGGGGTTTAATAATAAAGATGAGACAGCTATATAGTGTAAGAATGTTGACCTTTTTGCTGGGGCAGTCTCTCAGCTACCTTCTAATTTTAACCAGACTTCTCCCACCATTGTGTCTATGTGGTTCTCATTGCCTACTTCTGTCCGGTTTCCCTTCTGTCTTCCCCCTGCAGCTGTCTGCTCTCTCTCTACTCGTTCTGCTGGATCTTTCTGCTCCAGCTCCATTGGCCAGCTATTTATTTAACAAAAGCCCCATTGCATTCACACACACACAACGCGATTAGCATAGTGGGAGAAGTTCCACAGCTTACTCATTCTGAGCCCAGTCCACGTTTTTTGTGTTGCCTTTTGGTCAAAGCTCTTTTATCCTCTTTTTGGGCAGGTGAGGATGTGACAAACTTTTACATATAGAAAGTGGGTATCGCTGTGGAAATGACAATACCAAATATCCCGACAGCACCTGGGCTGCAATTAATGACTGAAAACCCAGGGGCATACCTCCGTAGCCATTTGATACAATATGTGTGGGTATAGATCATCCCAGCAAGAATGTCATCGGATGACATCTGAGACCGAGAGCAGGGGTTTCCTGGCTTTTCTGTAACCCACCTACTTGATGCTTCCACCGGTGTATTTTTAAAGTGTCTTTGTCCCTTTCCTTTCTCTGTTGGCTTCACTGGGACCTGTGGTCACTGTTGCCCCTGGCCTCTCCTCCTCTCGTGGCTTCTCTGATGCCCAGACTCTCTGTGATGACCATTGCCCTTCTCACATTTCCACCTTCACATGCTGGGGAATTCTGTCGTAGCCAGAACAAAGCTCGTAGCAAATCTCAGGGCATCTTTTTACCAACTGTGCTATGCAGATGTCTCAGAAACCTTCTTCCTTCACAGGATGCAAAGTCAGCCAAGACTCAGGATGAGCATGGAAATGTTCTAAGCCCCAGCCCATCAGGGTCATGTGAAAGAAATAATTCGCAGGGCAAACCCAACTTTGTGGAAACATATGCAGTCAAGTTTCAGGGATTTTTCTTTTCTGTTTTCCTGAAGGTACAGCCCGGGGCAGGATCCCATCTCCACCGCCCCGCTTAGGCTTCCAGAGTGGGTTCTTGATGAACTTGGCTCTCTTCTGCTGGCGACTCCTGGGCAGAAGACATGGCTCTGGTCCGCTGGGGGCTGAAAAGACAGAACTTCCACCCATTGAGGAGGAGGAGATCGCTGCTGCTGAAACTCACAGTCGTTGTCATCTCCGTGCTTCTGTTTTGTGAATATTTCATCTATTACCTGGTCATCTTTCAGTGCCATTGGCCCGAGGTGAAGACCCTAGCCCCTGGCAGTAGGCAGGAGCCTGTGTTGAAAACCATGTTCCTGGCTGACACTCATTTACTTGGGGAGATAAGAGGCCACTGGCTGGACAAATTAAGAAGGTAAGGGGGGAAACTGGGAATCCTTCTGGAATTCTCTCCCCACAGGTCAGCTGAGAAGCTTCAGGTTACAGCAACATTCCCTTCTCAGGACATTCAGGGTTTTGAATTTTTCCTACTAATTATTAAGCAGTTCTTATATGCATAGCCCTGTAATTAGGGCATGGTTTGGGCTGCTGAGTAGTTCTGGGAGTTTGGCGAAGTCTGTAAATCCTGCCTCCTGTCAGTCACTGGGCTAGTATAGGAAACGTCACAGCTGTGAATGTTTGGGATGTGGGAGTGGTCCCTGGGCAGAAGAATTCAGATCTGCATTGCCGGTTCTTTTTCATCTTGGTGGTGTGTGGGTTTGAGCACATTGGGGTTTTTTGGCTCCTCTGGGCAGCCAGAGGCATGAGGCAGGTACGTGCCTGTCCTCCCTGAGGATGGGCGGAGTCTTATCTTTTCAACTCAGACCTGCCCCAGCTTAGTCTGTTTTCTCACCAGCAAGCTCTTCTTGTTCTCTATTTTGAACCGATGTACATCACACACACTGCCATCTGTTTTTACACAGACTCACGGTGGCATTTGTGCTTTCAAATTGCTGTGCCGTGGTCACCACCATCCTCCTCTAGATGTTTTCCTTTTGAACTGCAACTGTACGCACGAAGCACCAGTTTCTCGCTTTTCTCTCTCCCCTTGTCCCTGGAAGCCACCATCGTGTTTCTCGTCTCTGTGAACCTGGCTGCTGCAGACATCACCTATGAGAGGAACCACACAATGTTTCTTTCTGTGACTGGTTTATGTCACTTAGCATATTGTCCTTCAGGGCCCACCCATGTTGAAGGACATGGCAGGATTTCATCCCTTTGAAAAACTGAACCACATTGCCTTTTATGAACCTCATAGTTTTGTTTGTGTTTTGAGACAGAGATTTACTGTGTAGTCCAGGCTGGCCATAAGCTCTCTTCGAAGCTCAGGCTGGCCTTGCTTTTGTGGCAATGCTATCAGCCATTCGAAGGCTGAGGTTACAGGTCCAGTTCAGACCGTGTTTTGAAAATTTTTTCAACTGGGTGGACACTGGGTTCCGAGACAGAAGTATTGGAGGGCTCTTTACCAGCAGCTGGTAAAGATGCAACTGCTCCTTGTCTTAGTTTTTCACCACTGAGACAAAACACCCGGTGCGAGTTAAAAGAAGAAAGGTTTATTATGGCTAAGAGTTGCGGGGGCGCAGATTGCAGTTCTTTGCTTTCTTGTTTCTGGCCTTGAAGTGAGGCAGAGTGCTATGGCGGAGGAGTTTGCAGAGCAGAGCCGCTCAGTTCATTGTGGACAGGCAGCAGAAAGAGGGACAGGAAGAGGCCAAGAACAAGATCCTTATTAACTTGTTCCTTCCAGCTAGGTCACACTTCCCAATAATTATGTCATACTATGAGTCCGATCTGGACTTGGCTGTATTGGTGATGTTCAGACCCTTAGGAGCTAGCCATTTCCAAAACCCATCCATCAGTGGGCAAACGAACCTGTCAGGTATGAGCCGTCAGGGGGCATTGCACATCCAACTGTAATTCTCCTCCCCATGGCATAGTTGTTTTCTGAAGTGTGAGCATTCTTTCAAGAGGAGGATGCTGCAGGTGACCTGAGGTTGGCAGGGTGGGCAGGATGTGTGATGTTCCCAGCAGGGGTGAAAGAGTCAAGAGGAAAGAAGGAGGGTGAGGGGCTGCCAGGTCCTCCTATGAGGAGGTCTGGCCACTGGAGACATGTGCCAGAGTCAGGCTACAGACACTGACTGGGGCTTGCAAGTTCAGCCCCTCTGGCCAGGTTCCCATTCCTTTTGCCACTGCTTTTGTGCTGATGTTCTCCAGATCTGGCTCTGGAATGACAAACCTTTAAGTAGTGATATATACCAAATACTTGGGGTCTTAAAAAAAAAAAGCTTCTCTGGTTAAAAAACAACAACAACAACAACAAAAAACCCCTCTCCTTTATTTCTGTATGGTAGAGTAAAACACTCCTCTTTGGAGAAGAGGCATCTGGAGCAGCTGTAAAGATGAGGGAGGGGATCCCTCCAAAAGTGACTTTAGCTAGAGTTGGTAAGGGAAAAGGAAGGCCTGTGCTGTGCTGTCACTGTGAAAGTACCTTCTAATTTAGTCTTATCACTATCCTTTGAAAGTGGGTGCTTTCCATCTGGAATAAAGAAATTATTATTATTTTTTTTGGGGGGGGAGACAATCTTTCTATGCAGTTCACATTAGCCTTGAACTCATGATCTTCCTGCCTCTTCTTCCCAGTAGTACTGGTATGACAGGAATGGACCACTATGCTGACAGCAATGTTTTTTCTTTTTTCTCTCTCTCTTTTTAAAGGAAGAAACTGGGAATTAGAGTAGGAATATTCTCCAGGTTCCGCTTAACAACAGATGGAGCTGGGCTTTTAAAGCCACTGTCAGACTAAATACCCTCGATGCTTTTCCACGTACTTGTGAACTCACCTTCGTGTGATCACTTATATCTGCATTGACTGGATTTACTGTTGCTATTTCTTTCCTTGTTTCTCTGTAACTATGAAGTGGAGGTTCTTTTAAGAAGGGGAGTTTGAGCTGGGAAGGGAAGGCTTGTAGCTTCCTAGAGCCTGCATGCCTAACATCACAAAACAACGACGACGACGACAACAAAGCAGAGAAAGACTCTCAGGCTGTAAAGCCATCTTCTCAGTGTGATGGAAACCTGCTGGGCCTCTCTGGAAGTTGTGTTAGGTTCTTTGAACCCCCTGGGTTCTCTGGTTGGACTGAGGGCTTCAGGGCATTTGAGGGTATGGCAGGGCAGCCTAAACATTTCTAAATTAGGTCAGATGCAAATCTATTGGTTGTTCCAAAGCAGAAGGTTGAAAATCAAAATTAGAGCAAGGGAGGCAGAGAATGGGACCATTTCACTTTCTTTTTATTTGACTTTAATATTTAACTAGTTAATTAACGTACTTATTTGTAGCAGGCTCTCACTATGCAGTCATGGCTGTCCTGGATCTTACTATGTAGACTAGTGCTTGCCTCTTCCTCCCAAGCACTGGGATTAAAGTTATGCATGCTACCACACAAGGCTAATTCATCTTCTAATTGGCCTTCACCCAAGAAACAGACTGATGCTTTAATTTTTCTCAAGGGAGTGGCAAATGGAAAGAGCCTTTCAGACAGCTGTGTGGCTGCTGCAACCGGAAGTCGTCTTCATTTTGGGAGACATCTTTGATGAAGGGAAGTGGAGCACCGCCCAGGTAGGACCTGGGTTCTGATTCTGCCTCCAGGCTTTTACTTTGGCAGCCCAGAATGCCTGTGAAGTTCTGGTGGCTTGAACTATGAGTTTTTCTTAGTTCTTACAATGGGAATGCATACTCCTATGGCCAGGAATGTCACTCACCAGTGGAGTGGGTACTAAGGCTCTTAGTTCTATCCTACTTCTAAGTGTGTGAGGTTCTCAGTTCAGTCCTTACACCTTAAATATGGTCTATCCTGAAGATCCTTAGGGTTCCTGGTCAATGCTAGTCTTGCATTTTGTCACCTAATCTTTTATTTATCTATGAAGGAAATAATGTGGCTAGACTGACATTATTTATGTAATTAGAATACAGTCCTACAGTCAGCCTCCTGGGGAAAGGGACAAATAGGCAAGATGGTGCTATTTCACCTGTAACCAGAATTACAGAGTACGTGTTGAGATGGACATTTAGCTTCATACACTTCTCTTCTTCCTTTGTAAGTGTATTGAAGGTGCTTATTTCCTTAGTTAGTACTGTATTAAAAAATTTAAGAATAAAGTTTATTATTATCTAATGACTATTTTTTACCTACCTCTTATTATTTGTTCAGCTGACACTTTAGGTGTATCATAGTGAGAACTATACTTATGTAACTCTACATCTTTTAATAGTGAACGCAGATGTCAGAATAGTCTTGACATATTTATTGTGATAGATGTCTTAGTTAGGATTTCTATTGCTGTAAAGAGACACCATGATCATAACAACTCTTATAAAGGAAAACATTTAATTGGGGTTGGCGTACAGTTCAGAGGCTTAGTCCATTATCAACATGGCAGAAGGCATGGTAGTGTCAGACAGACATGGTGCTGGAGAAAGAGCCAACAGTTCTACAGGCAAGGCAGGAGAGAGAGAGGAGAGAGAGAGAGAGAGAGCCTGGCTTGAGCACCTGCCACCTCAAAGCTCGCTTCCTAGTGACACACTTTCTCCAATAAGGCCACACCTACTCCAAAAACGCCATACCTCCTAATAATGCCATTCCCTAGAGGCCTTTGGGAGCCATTTTCCTTCCAACCACCTTCATAGTCTTCATCGGTCTTGAAATAAAATACTTGGGGCATTACAGGTAAAATGCTTTAAGTATCACATGAAAAGTATGAAAGTAAAGAAGAGAGAGGAAACTGATCCCTGAAACCCATGACAGAAGAAAGTTGTCTCCTGACCTCCACATGTGTGCCATGGCATGTGTGTACTTTGCACGACACACTTACACACATACATACACACCACACCACATCACACAAAATATGAAAAAAGAAAGGCAGGAGAATCAAGAAGAACTGCCAAGGGAACAGAACCCCACTGTAGTATCTATTATATTCTTCTTTTCCTTCCTTCTTCCTCCTTCCTTCCCTCCCTCCCTCCCTCCCTCCCTCCCTCCCTTCCTCCTTCTTTCCTTCCTTCCTTCCTCCTAGATTTTATGTGTGTGAGTCTTTGCCTGCACCATGTGTTTGCAGTGCCTTTGGAGGCTAGGGTTGGTGTTAGATCCTCCAGAACTGTATATCCAGACAATTAGAAGCTGCTATGGGGGTTCTGGGAATCAAACCCAGGTCTTCTGCAAGAGCAGCAGAGCCATCTCCCCAGTAACCTCTTGTGGACCGAGAGTCAAAAATATAAAAGCTGACAAGATCAGGGAAGATTGTCAAAGAGATAAGACTTGTTTTCCTTGGAGCTTTCAAGTGAGAGTGTTAAACCAGCAAAGATCATCCTTGCTTAGGGTTAGAACGTTTTTGACATTTGCCAGTAACCCCTTAGTGCTGGTTAGGTTTTGCCGCCTTGATACAAACTATAGAGAGGTGTGGGAAGGGCCACTTTCAGTTAAGAAATTATCTCCATTAGATTGGTCCTTGGAATATTTTTTCTTGATTGCTAATTGGTGGAGGGGAGCCTAGTTCACTGAGGGGAGAGCCATCCCCTAGGCAGGTGATCCTGGGTTGTGTGTAAGCTTGTGCTTAGAGGCAAGCCAGTGTAATCATTGTTCTTCTGTGGTCATCCCTTCAGTTTCTGCCTTCGGGTTGCTGGTTTAAGTTCCTGTCTTAGTTTCCCTTGATGAGTGACTATAACCTGTAAATTAAAATAAGCCTTTTCCTTTCCCAAGTTGCTTTTGGCTTGTGTTTCATCAGAGAAGAAACAAACGAGGACACCTAACAACACTTTCCTCTAGTCACTAAACTTGAACAGAAGTCTTCATAATCTCCCTCATAATTTCATTCACACACACACACACAAATTGTTTTTATTTTTGTTTTTGAGATAGGGTCTAGCCCTGGCTGCTCTGAAACTCACTGTATAGACCAGGTTGGCTTAAAACTTTAACAGGTGATCCTCTTGAGTCTGCCTCTGAGATGTTGAAATTACAGCAGTGTTGCAGGATATTTGATCCTATTGTGAACCCCAAGATTGTGAACTGTAAAAATCTGTTTCTAGCTGTGGAGTGGCTCAGGCCTAGCACACACCTTTAATTCAAGATCTTTCTATACACAGGAATAAATAAAGTTAACCTTAGGTCAAGAGGTGGAACAAGTAACCAGATGACAGGATTAAACAGAAAGGAGGGGCATTGAGAGAGGAGCATTTAAGACAGTGTGGAGAAAAAGAGGGAGTTTTGGGCTTTTAGCTTTTTGGCTTTTTCCATCTGGGATGTGAGCTGAGCTGAACAGGAAGGTCAGCTGGGTGCTTTCTCTGCCTCTCTGAACTAGCAAGTTTTTACCCCAGCATCTGGCTCCTGATTCTTCATTGGTACAACTGAACAATTTGGGATTTTCTATTTTTATAACACAAAAGGTCTATGCCTGACATTGGAAGTTCTTCAATATGAGGAATACAGAAACTAGCTGTTTATTTTTCCTAATTTTTTAAACTCTTTTTGCAAATTACATCCTTTGAACAATGTGCCTTCAAAAGCCACTTGCTCATACTCCCTTCAAGCCTTCTCTTACATCTGTGATGTGGACACTTAATAAACCTAACTGCTTCATATGGCTCTTCCCAAAATTATTTTCTGTGTCCTAAGTCATGATCCTGGCTCTCCTGAGTGTGATGTCCCCAAGTGGAAAATTCCTCATCTTACTGTCACAAATTCTACTGCATTTACTACAGCTGCTAACGGGTGTCTTAGAAAAAGAATTAAAACTTTGTCTTGGAGGTAGGGAGAGGTTTGCCTTCTCCAATCTGGCTCTTAACTGTGGCTCTGGTTCCCTCAGGCCTGGGCAGACGATGTGCAGAGATTTCAGAAGATGTTCAGGCATGGCAGCCACGTGCAGCTGAAGGTGGTCATTGGCAATCATGACATTGGTTTCCACTATCAGTAAGTAGTATGTGAAAGAAGCATGCCTCAAGAATGTTCTTAAAGTTGCTGAAACTTGGGGAAAACCTTTTTGTGCTTTACTGAAGAAACCTGCTTTCCTTCAAAGGTGTAGGTTCTGAAAGGGATGCTCCTTAGGGAATTAAAAAAATCTTGGCCTATTTACACTCTTAACAAATATCTGGCATGAATGAGGTGTATGTGTCATGAGAAGTGTCTAACTTAAAATGTACTCATTTTTGAGACAGGGTCTTACTGTGTAGCTCAGGCTATGTAGAGCAGGCTGACCCCAAACTCTGCCTGCCTCTGTGGCACCACACCTGGCTCCTTTTGTTTTTGTCATTTGAGTCTCAGTTTCACTATGTAGCCCTCAAATTTGCAATCCTCCTACCTTCAACTTCTTCGATATTAAAGTGTGCACTTAATGTCAAGCTGCTTTAGAAGACAGACAAGTCCACATGTCCTTTGCTAGCTCACACTGTGTTTGCCAGGATGCCATGTGCCAGTCATTGTAAGTCCTTTCCGTGCATTAACTCCTATCTTTCATGTCTTTCTACCGAGGTCCCAGGAAGCTAAGTAACTTGCCTCCCCTTCATGATAAACAGCAGACCTGACCTCCTGGGGCCAGTTAATAATGCCAGATTATGGGAGTTATTTTTCATGTTCATGGTAACTCCACAGTGCTAAGATAGTGTTTCTTTTTGTAATTGGATACAGGATGAGTAAACACAGAATAAAGCGATTTGAGAAAGTGTTCAGCTCCGAAAGGCTGTTCTCTCTGAAAGGAGTGAAGTGAGTATTATCTGAATTCTTATGAAACTTTTTTTTAAATGAGGTGCTGGGGGGGGGAGCCCAGAGCCTAGGACCCTCCCACTGAACTGTGCCCCCAGCTTAAATCCATCATTATTCAAAAGTGGTTACCATACGGTCAGACCCTTGTTCTCTGTCCCCTCGTACCTTGCTTGCTAATGGTCACTGTGGGAATTGACAGATGGGAAACTTAGAACCGCCCACAATGAACCAGTCAGCCTGTGACTCCACCCACTCAGTGTGGGCGTGGCATTCTAGCTGCACCGTCCCGGGTGCTGCACATTCAGGGGTCAACTCTATAGAGGTGCCTTTGTGAGGGGCTCTTTTTGTTTTGTTTTGCAGACAGGGTCTTCCTGTGTTGTTGTCCTTGCTGTGGCAAACTCCTGAGCTGGGACTGTAAGCACATTCTGCTGTGTACATCTTGAGGCCTCTTTTCATTTGATCCAAATGTATTTGTACCATTTTACAAAGGCCTGTCTGCTAGGTACGCTATCCTGGCATTTGGTGCCAAGTGTATCCAGGTGTTTCAGTAGCTCTCTCTGCCTTTCTAGTTCATCAGCCTTGACCTTAGTCTGGTCCTTGGATGCCCCCACCTCGAAAGGCCATAAGCAGGGCCACCCTGGACCTTTTCTGCCTTGTGTTGGCAGAACAGCCTCTGAGACCGTGTGCCCTGCCCTGCACTGGTCCACACCTGATTGTACTGTAGGGAGACCGTGACTGTCAAGAGCTGGTAGTGGAAGTCTCGTGGGTGTTTCCACCAGCTCTCCTTTTTCATAACCCTGCTGGGAGCAGAGGGCGGTCTCTCCAGCAGGACCGTCCTTTCCTGTATAGCCACGGGGACTGATATCATTGAATCACTCCTGCCTAACTGCCATGCTTGAGAATTCACACATGCTCACCAGATTTCAGGGCACGTTGGCTCTTGATACCCAAAACTGTTTACGTCTAAGAGGTCTGCTGACAGGTACCTTTCTCGTGCCTAGGTGGTGCGTGCACAGGAAATGAAAGCATGCTCTCCTGGGCGTCCATAAAAATATAACAATAGTAGAGGTTAGGGATTATGCAAGCCCACTTCCGGCACCCATCCGCACTTAGTCCTGAGCCTTCCTTGCTGAGTGTGTGTGTCCCTGGGTCAGCTTTAGTGTTTGCTGTTCTGAGCACCTGTTATATTTTCATTAACCCTTCAGCACCAGCGGATGCCGTAGGCTTCCTGGTCGTCCTCATACCTGCACAGGTGAGACACAGGCTCAGGAGCTGGCCCCAGGACACACTTCTAACTGGATGCTGGATTGAGGGCTAGGCAGACCCCATCACTGCTGTCCTGTAGGATTCTCTACAAGTTACAAGTCGATCCCGTCTTTCACTTGGAGTAACAGAAACAAGCACACCTCATCCGACCTTGGATGTAACGCTGTTGTTGTTTCACCAATATTAACTCATAATTAGTTTAAACTGGGATTAAGCTGCTCCAGGGCTTCTTTCCTCACACTATGGATGCATAATGTTGTTTCCACGGAGACAACGGGAAAAGAGGCTCCCATGTGTCCAGTGGCCTGACCTTCTCTGCCTGCTCCTGTCTGCCTCAGTTTTGTGATGGTCAACAGCGTCGCAATGGAAGGGGATGGTTGTAGCATATGCTCTGAAGCGGAAGCCGAACTCAGAGAGATCTCTCGTAAACTGAATTGCTCCCGAGAGGTAGGAGACCACCGGCACAGCTTAGGCCTCTGTGCTCGTGTCCTCCAAAGGTGCCAGGGTCGGCGCACTGGCTGTTAGTCACCCAGCTACCCTTCCCTCTCCCAGCGGTAAGCCCTGGGCTTGCCGGGTTAACAGGGTGACTTCCGACCAGCAGGTGCGGGGATCAAGCCAGTGTGAGGATGAGCAGCGGCTGCCCTCGTCGGCCCCCGTGCTGCTGCAGGTGAGATGGGGAGGGGGGAGCTAAGGCGGCCAGCCACGCACCGACAGTATCGCTGACGCCGCCTCCATCCCCCACAGCACTACCCGCTCTATCGGGCCAGCGATGCGAACTGTTCTGGCGAAGACGCGGCTCCTGCAGGGGAAAGGAACATCCCCTTCAAGGAGAAATACGATGTCCTTTCTCAGGAGGCCTCACGAAAGGTGTGTGGTCATATGACCTCACGCCAGTGGTACGTGGGGACAGTGAGCAAACACACAGGGCCTTTGTGGTTTCCAGCTGCAGGAAGGGGAGGGCTTTGACATCATCTCCGATTTCTGCTCCACCTTCGTTCCTTCTCCCTTCTTTAGTAGATCCACTATTTCCTAACCTCAACGAAAATTACGTGCTTGGCTAATCTTTACATTAAAAAATTTAAAACCAACTTAAATGGATTGGGTGTAATTGAAACTTTAGAGTCTAATTTCAGGGGATTTAATTAGGAAGGTACTTTCTCAAATATGTGTATTTAAGAAATATACACATATTATATAACATTTATGGATTATAATATAGAAGTATATTAAATTCAAATATATAAATATTAAATGTAAATTTATATTTTATATATAAATTTTTTTGTGGAAAATATTTAGGACACAATTTTATAACAATAAAATAATACGTAGAAACCTGTGATGCAAAGCGTGGCTTCTAAGGTCTCCCAGGAGTAGGAAATCTGAGGGAAATGAGCCCACTCTACTTATTAGGGATGAGTGTTTATTTGCGTGGAATGAGAGGCACAGCCAGTAGTTCTGGCAGATCATGAGAGGGATCACTGCCAGTCTGAGCACTAACTGCCTGCGTCTCCTCATCTGCCAGCTGCTGTGGTGGTTCCGGCCTCGCCTGGTTCTGAGCGGCCACACGCACAGTGCCTGCGAGGTGCTCCATCCGGGGGGAGCTCCTGAGGTGAGCGTCCCGTCCTTCAGTTGGAGGAACAGAAACAACCCCAGCTTCATCATGGTAACGTCAACCTTTATTTTTCATCTGAAAGCTTTCTTGACTATTGAAATTAACACAGTAATCAACTATTGAAAGGCTGCAATCTGTTCAAAAACACATACAAAAGCCAGAAATAAATCGCCCTCTTTGCGTTCTGAGTTGGATACATTGCCCGTCCGTCTCCAGTCACCTGTCTGGGGACAAATAGGCAGACTGTGGCTTCAGGGCAGGGACTTTGAGGAGCAGCTGCCAGAATTTCATCTTGCAAGCAAAGGTGGAGTTCAGCAAGCGCCAGTCTGTTTCCAAGGAAACAGTTGTCTGCTCCTTAGCAGACTTGGCCATCTCTCATTTTCTACGTTTTGCCTAGCACATGGTACTACAGAATTTCCATTTTGGGGAACCATCTTCTTGTTAACTGTGGGTTCTTACACTGGTCTTATGCTTCTGTTCTACAGTCCTATCTATAAAAAAGTGGGGGCCCTTTGTGTTTTCAAGTTCAAGTAGGTAAAAACATTTGCTACCTTGATCTCATGCTGTAAACTGCCTACTATGAAAAGCCTATGGAGAGGCAGGGGCAATTCTGGGTGACAGGGCGACCTCTCTGCTATCAAACAACAGGGACACTCTTGTTCCTCTGTGACTGATGTCTCTTGGCATCCCTCTGGGGCTGCCCTACTGTGTGAGAGACACACTTTAATGGAGGGGTCAGCATACCAGAGACCTTCTTCCCTCCCCTGCCTACCTGAGGGAACCTAGAAGATAGCTTCTAAGCCAGATTTGTGCCTGGGAGTCTTGCTGCAGCATGAATGTTCTCTTTCTTCCCCAGGGCAGCCTGACATCCAGAGAATACGCTCTGTCCAAGTGCTACCTCCCGTTTGAGGACACGGTGCTGACCATGTACGGTGTAGCAGCTGGCTTCCTTGTGGTCCTCACCTTAGCTCACTTTGAGCATTTGCACTCATCTTTTCTGTTTGGTTGGAAACTGTGCAGGATACACAAGAGAAGATGAAGAACCAGTGATTGTTGCACATGGTAATATAAAACCAAAGCCAAAGACATGGGACTTCCAGTGGGGCTCCAGTGAGTCACGGAGGAGAGCAACTATTGGTTGTCCTTATGTACAAGATGAGAATTCCGAATCATCAATGCCAATGACTGCAGAATAAACAGTTGACTGTTCTGTTCTCATGCTATAAAAAATGGAACGTGTACTCTACAACAAATTCACCTTTTCGTTTGATCAGATATGTATGATTAGAGGTTACATCTGTACAGCATGTAAATGTTATAGAAGACACTGTCACTCGCATGCACGACACAGCCCTTGCTTCCCCAGCAAGGACCCAGCAGCTTTGGTGTACACTTGAGGCTATGTGTACACCTAAAAAGCCAAGTTTTCTCTGCCCTTCTGTGAAGTGGCTCTCAGTTCCTCATAGATCATGAAGCTGTATGATCAAGAGTACAGATCCAATGTGCAGAATTAAAGGCTTTTGTGTTTCTGTGCTGATGGAATCAGATTTTTAGGTAAGTATAATTTTCCCTCCAGGAGACCATGTTGTCACATCTGCACTCAATGCCTGTTGATGATTAAAACTTGAAGAGATGGAGGAGGACATGGATGTTTGAATTTAAAAATAAATGGTGTAATAATTTTGTAAAAAAAAGAAGCATATTTTAGCATATTCCTAAAGGAGTCTGGATCTTTCTTTTTTTTTTCTTTTTTTCCTTTCTTTCTTTCTCTCTCCTTTTCTTTCTTTTTTTCTTTTTCTTTTTTTTTAATATTTATGTATTTACTATGTATACAGATCTCATTCTAGATGGTTGTGAGCCACTATGTGGTTGCTGGGAACTAAACTCATGACCTCTGTAAGAACAGCCAGTGCTCTTAACCTCTGAGCCATCTCTCCAGCTCCCTCTTTTTGGGTTTTTTGAGACATGGTTTCTCTGTGTAGCCTTGGCTGTCCTCAACTCACTTTGTAGACCAGGCTGGCCTTGAACTCACAGTCAGATCTGCCTGCCTCTGCCTCTCAGATTACTGGAATTACAAGCGAGCACCACTGCACCCAGCTGTTAGATCTTTCTTAATGATCCAATTTTATTTATATTTCTTTTATTTTGATTGAGTTCAGGTCTTATGCATGCTAAGAATGTGATCTATCAGAGTTATACATTCAGCCCCAACACAACTTTACAATAGACCTTCAGTTAGCAGGGAACTCTTATGTAATAATACACACAGTAGTATAAAACTTCGCTTTTTGTGTGTGTGCGCAAATTTTTCTTCTTGCTTTGCTTTGGGGTGGAACTGAAAATCACTTTCGTGTATCCCTACACTTCTGTGTATCCCTAGCTGTCCTAGAACTCACTATGTGGTCCAGGTTGGCCTCGACCTCAGAGATCTGCCTGCCTCTCTGCCTCCCGAGTGCTAGGACTAAAGGTGTGCGCCACCATCGCCCAGCTTCAGATGGAAGTTTTGTGTAGTGGTGGAAAACAGCACAAGGTGGCAGTGAGGATGTGGCCCAAGAATGTGCCGTACCCTTTCATGGAAGAGCGTCTCCAACAGGATAGGTTTGTAAAGCTTCATACAGCGCCGACTTTAAACAACCATAAGGAGGTGAATAAGTAATGCAGGCTGTCGCTCCTTTGTATTCATACCATTGAAAACTTAAGTTTGGGCATTTTTACAGATAACTTCCAGCCTAAGAGAACCATCCCCAAAGCCTCAGCCATACACAGGCTAAGCAGCGCATGGCTACAGCAACTGTTATTTTCTAGGTGTCCTACTTTAACACTTGTATTTGCAGGTCTTGCACATATGAGGAACAGCCATTTCTTTTATCTTTATATTTTAAATAAAAGGTTTTTGTGGGGCTGGAGTTAGGGCTGGGGACATGCATTAGCAGTACGGTGCTTGCCTAGCATGCACCAGGTGCTAAGCTCATCCCTAGCAATGCAGATAGAGAGATAGATGATAAGTAGGTAGCTTTGTGGTATCTCAGAAGATGCCGCCCTTATTGTTCTCAGTCATGTACTGCATCGACACTCCTATGCTTTTTCTCTGACCAATGGTTTCTTGTTTCATGGGACTGTGTGCAGAACTTTTTTTTTTTTTTTAAGATTTATTTATTTATTATGTATGCAATTTGTGTTTGCATGTACACCTGAATGCCAGAAAAGGGCACCAGATTTAATTTTAGATGGTTGTGAGCCACCATGTGGTCACTGGCCATTGAACTCATGACTCTGGAAGCCAGTGCCCTTAACCTCTGAGCCATCTCTCCAGCCCCTGTGTGCAGAACTTAACTAAGGAATGGTTAGCCTGAAAAAGTCATCAGAAACATTTTATCTTTGGAGGGGAAAAAAAAAAAAAACCTTGGTACCCTGAAAAAGAATAGGTTATCATTTATGCCTTGAAATTGGGTTATCCCAGTGTTTGCAGCAGCTGAGGTTCAAGATTTGCAACAGTTTCAGAGTCGGGATGCTGCTGCTGGTAATTCGGATGGTTCTAAGATCAATGAGTCTTCCAAAAGTACCGACCTGATAAGAATATCCTAAGATGAACAGATACTACTGATTCCCTACTGTGAAGCAGCAGGCTGTGTGGTCTGCTAGCAGCTTGGCACAGCTGGGACGTATGTAACCCCTTACAGGTGTGGCCGCCACCAAGGCACGGAGCTCTCCAAGGAGGTTTCTTTAGTAGTCATACAGAAGAGTAGTACATCTTGTGGTCTGCACAGTCTAGTAAAGCAACAACAGAAAGATAGGAAAGACCATGCCCAGCTATCATAAAGGTGTAGAGGACACCTTGTTTGTAGACAGGACACAATTTGCTGTAGTGAATGTGGCAGGTTTTCTGCCTAAATGTAAAAGGCTCCAAGAAGTGCTCTAACCCGAATGCTGGAGGCTTATAGCCATTAAAACTGTGGCTGAAAAAAAGTTCCTCTTGCTCTTTTGCTGGCGTGGGTCTACTCTAAGCCTTGGGCCAATGCAGATCAGAAGGGGCAGACACCTGCTAGGCTGATGTTTTATAAATGGAAAACCAGAAAAGATCCACAGGGCATGGCCCTGTTCGGACAGTTTTGTGATCATGCTTGTTATCTTGAAAACAACGTATTTCCCCTATTTACCAAGCTGGCTCTGATGGTTCAGTCCATCAACCAACCAATCAATGAATAGATAGATTCCCACCCTGAGAAACTTCACTGCAGTAGAACCCACGTGAGAGTTGATGGCTTTGCAGTGATTCTAATTGGTGGTGGGAGGCTTTTTAGTCCAGTGAAAACAAAAGTTACGGAACCAAACCTGGGTGGGGGACAGAGGTAGCCAGAGGCTTGGTGGTCACATGTGAGCATACCTAGGACAGGACAGACGGCAGCCCAGTGACACTAGACACTCACTATGTCCTACCGTGGCTCGGGGTGGACAGACACGCAGGCTAGGGAGATACACTGCCTCGTGGGGTGGCCGAGAGGGAGGAGAGGCGGCAGTGAGGAGGGGGAGGGGTAGGCGGCCCTCACAAGAGTTCGTACTGCTTGAGGTGCATCCTCTGGATGATGTCACGGCAGTCGTTGAACACTCTGCGGATGTTCTCTGTGTCCACGGCGCAGGTGAAGTGAGGGTAGCAGTAATGTTTGCCATCGCCCGTGGCCGTGCTGATCCTCTGTGAAAAAGAATGCTGAGCTCAGGATGACGGGGTCCAAGGCAATCACATGGAGGGACAGCTTAGGGGACACTTTTATATAGAGTCGAGAGAGGACATAAGGTTGACTGGCGGCTGCCTTGACAAACTATCTAGATACCAAGCATGTGCCAGGACAGACGAGCTTGTCTCTGCCACAGGCCTTGGGTCTGAACTGAAACAGTACAGGCTTTGGAGAGGGCAAGGCAGGCTTAGATGTCCAGAGCTGTCTACACTGCTCTGGTGGACAGAACTTTGCTAGTGGAAATATATTCTGCCCGTATATGTTAGCTACTGCCCGTAGATGTTAACGCCTGCCATTGGGGAATGGGGGGTAGGAGATGATCTCTGACTCAGTGTTAATTCATTTATATTTCTCTTGAGGTGCGATCTTGCTATATTGCCCATATCAGCCTTGAACTCCAGCGCTATCGACATCCTCCTGCCTCACCACAGGCATCTAATTTAAGTATCCGCATGTGATGGGGCTGTATCTCAGTAATACTTCTGCCTTCTCTACACAGGTGACGTTGGCTGGTTGTGGAATGTTGCCTGGTGTGTGTGTGTGTGTGTGTGTGTGTGTGTGTGTGCGCTGTGGGAAGCACACACAAAATTAAGCACGATCCACCTGTGAAGCTTCCTGGGACAGGCTAGAGAAAGGTATAGCTGAATTGCATCTTGAGACTTCTGTGTTGGGTCTGAACCCTCAAGGGCCTCAGGATGTGCCTGCATTTGGTGACAAGATCTTCAAAGAGACAATCACGATTAAATAAGGTCATTTTGGGCTTGAGTTTCTTATAACTGGTGCCGCTGTAAGGAGAGGAGGTCAGGACAGACATGCAGATGTTGATCATGGGGACACAGAGGGGGGGATGCCATCCTTGAGCCAAGAAGAGCAGCTCAGGATGATATCCTCCTGCTGGCACCTGACGTCATGCTTCGGCATCCGGAGTTGTAAGGAAGCATTTCTATTGGTTAAGAGTCTAGTCTGTGGGGTGCTGGTCTATAGGATGTCACTTGGGCAGCTCTGAAAGCCCCTGCAGAATCATGCACAACTTTCTGGCTACATGTGGCCACTGGAAGTATCCCAGGCCCTCCTGCCCAACATCGTTTGTCTGCAAAGCATCTTGGGACACAGCAAAGAGAGAGAGAGAGTGCTGTTCATTAGAACTACAGCAATAGTCTTGGGGAAATGAACACCTGGTTACAGAACTTCTCAGAGTGGATGTAACTTCCCCTGTGTTGCTGCGGAGGGAACCCAGAGCCCCAAACGTTGCAAGGCAGGCAAAGCATTCTGCCACTGAGCTACAGCCCTGGCCCAGTTTTTCATTTTTAAGCTCAAGGACTTAGAAATGAACGTCTTTTGGCCCGAGTCATTATCGGATTGAATTTGCAAACTTCAAACAGCTAGATATCTCATCAAACCTGATTCATTCAATGATTTTCATAAAAAAAAAAAAAAAACCACAAATGCAAATGAGTTTATCAGTTGAACTGGGCAGGCCAGATGAGGTGGCTCTGCCTGTAACTAGAGCACTCAGGAAGCAAGGGAAATCAACTGTAAATATGAGACCAGCCTGGCTATGTATCCAGTTCCAGGACAGATAGAGCTACTCGGCAAGATCAGGTTTCAGAAAAAACAAAAACAAAACAAAACAACAGTAAAATAAAAGAGAGAACTGTGTAGTTCTGAGGGCTTTAGGAGAGGGTGTCCAAGGTAAAAAAGCTCACAAATGAGTTGGTCAAAATGGGCGCATAGTCTAAGAGACACAACACTGTCCCAACTCTGAGCGCGGAGACGCAGTAACGGGTTGGAGGTGGAGCTCAGTTGACACAGCACTTGCCTTTCGTGCAGCGAACATCATTCCCAGGACCCCACAGAACTGGACCTGGGGGTGCATCTCTGTCATCCCAGAACCTGAACACTAGTATGATCAGTCCTAAAGACTTCAAGGCTTTGGGAGGCAGCCTGTGTTAAGCTTGGATTCACTGCTGATTCAGAAGGACAGAGCTGCTTGCAAGTGACTGGTGGGACGCTGAGGGTGACTGCCTGGCTCTCCCGCTCCCAGCCACCTGGTCCTGTGAAGGACGGCTCCCGCCTTCTCCTGTGGGAGAGGGAGGCTTGTGTGACACAGAATCATGCTAGTGCTGTCCTTCCTCAGTGACTTCAGTGACTGCACCTCCAGTCAAGGAGAGTGCTCACCCTGCATGTGGCCCTCCCTCACCGTAGACTTCTTCCTGAATCGACTCCCTGCCAGGTTCACCACCTTCTCCCTTTCAAAGAATGTTCATTCCCTCCACACACACCTGTTTCCATGTGTTTCCTTTAGCCTCCTTGAGGCTTGCATTACCACAGGCATCATTTCACGCCTGACCAGCTTCTGCACACGTGGAGCAGGTGCTGACCCCCCAGCCCTGGTGTCTGCCCTGAAGCTGCGAGTTCTGACTCTGAACTTCTTAGGGCTCTGGCAGCCATAGACCAAGTCAAGATGGGCCTTTTCACCTCTGGACCCTATGGCATCTGGCTGGCAAACTGCATCCAAGCTAGGTTTTGTTCTCTGTCAGGGAAGAAAAGGGTTGTCCAAGGCTTGAGTGTGCATTGGTGAAGGCAGAGATCTTTTTAAAGTCTCAGTTTTAAATGCCCAACATATGCATGGTTAGTTAACTTTTAATTCATGTTATAATAGCATTTTATGATTTTTTTAAATGTGTTTTTATTTTATGACCTTACAGGTGGTTGTTTTTTTTTTTTTTTAAAGAACCTGTTGATTTCCTATGAAATATATTCTCTCACTGAAATGATTTCCAACCTGCATAGGGTTGTTCTCTTAGCTACTTGGCAGGCTAAATGAGGAGGACCAAAGGTTCAAGATGAGATGGGGCAATTTAGTGCGACCCTGTCTCAAAATTTAAAATTGGGATGTATCTCAATGGTACAGTGTTTGCCTAGCATGCACAAGGCTAACAGGCTTTAGCACAACAAAGGCTCTGAGAATCCAATCTCGGAGGAATGGCTCACTGTTTAACTTGGCAGGTCTCCAACTCAGTTGAAGCTCTCCCATACTGTCCTTTACATCTTGGGAGACTGTTGTTCCTCTCCAGGATGTGATTGGAGCACAGGCCTCTACGTATGCTGTGTTGAGTGCTGTGTCACGGAGCCACACCCTAGACATGGAACCTGGTCTCTCCATGTAGTTATTTTCCAACTCACCATGGAGTTTTGGAGAGGGAACTCATCTTAGGGCCATGGTGGTAAAGGGACGAAGGGAGACATATGGGATGGGTTGTGGACCATCTGTGCACCAACTGAGCCAAGATTCTGACTTACCCAGAAATGGACAGGTGTTAGCATCTGGACTGCGCATAGGGTCTTAATAGGAACAGACCCTTGGGAATGCCTTGGCATTTCCCAGTTTTAAACTAGTAAAATGTTCAAAGCCAGGTACAACAATTAGGTTCCAAAACAACAACTACAACAACAAATGTACAGGGCATGCTGACAGGTACCTGTAATCCCAGAAGTAGAGGTAAGAGGAATGTAAGTTAGAGGCCAGCCTTTGCTGTACAGTGATGCTAAGGCCAGCCTGAGCTACTACGTATACTCTGTCTCAAAAAAAATCAAGGACTGGGATGCAGCTCAATGGCAGAATGCTTGCCTAGCATATATGCTGAAAAACAAAACAAACCAACAAACCAAAAAAAAAAAAAAAAAAAAAAGCATACAGTAAATGTGGCAAGTTGAGAAAGGGAGGGAGCCAGAATTTGGGCAAGTTCCTTCTCATGCCATCCTGCTGGTGCTTTTGGATGGAGGAAGCAAGGTTTGAACGTGTGCACTCTCTTCGGTTTGGAAGATGCATGTGAAGAGTGTAGCCCTGTTTCCTGCTGGTCCCTTGGCACTGGATGGGAGAGCTAACATCTTTGAAGTCAGTGTGCTCTGGCAGAGGAGGATAACTGCTTCTCTCTTGGCTCATGGATTCAGGAAACGGTAAGAGCATGAACAGATGATTAGCAAAGAACTGCAAAGAACGAGGTAGCCATGCCTCGAGACAACAAAAGGGCAACAAAATCGCTTACCAAAAACAGATCCCGGATAAAGAACTTCGCTCTCGTAACTTTGGGGTCTTCTCCAGCATCTGGTGTTGCTGTCAAAATTAAAAAATGAAATTTTATTTAATCGATAGGAAGCAAAGATACAGAAGTCGATGCCCATGAAGAGAGAAACTCCAAATCTGCTGCTCCCTAGCTGCTGGATTTCTCAGCCTCCAGAAAACTTTTGTTGTTTATAAATCACCCTGCCCAAGGAACTTTGTTATAGCAACCCAAACAGACAGGTTAGGGCAAGTAACCTATTAGAACAAGTACAGGCTCAAAAAAGCATCTGACTGAATTCTGACAAGCTGAGCAACTCTTTCTTCCACTTCCTCTTCCAAGCTAGGGTAGAGAGGAAGGCTGTGCTGTCTGGGATGCATGCAACTTAAAAAAAAAAATTAGTCTTGCTCTTAGGAAGACTCTCTTCCAGCTACTGCATAGGTTCATGTTGGGCCCCTGGGACGTCCACTGCAGCAGACCCTCTGGCTATAGATCCAAGCATGTCCTGGAATCTCAGGGTCGGGTGAGGTCTCCACTCTGGCCATTCATCCGCTGGGAACTGAGCACTGGTTCTACGGAGGGATGCCTTACAGATCCTAAACTGTACATATTTCCAATGTTCACATTGATACCTTCTGACAAGTATCATGAAAATCATGATAATCTGACAAGCCATGAAAATCATGGCTTTTCAAATTATTGAGATACCAAAAGATTAAAAATTGGTGGCTATTTTTAATAGTTAAAGCCTGAACCAGCTGGGTGGAGAGGTCCAGTCATGCCCTGAGGGGAAGAACTCGCCTTACTGCATTCTTTCCCCACTCACTAGAGATACAGTTGCTAGGAAACTGGCCCATCCCCCTAGGGAGGGACACCAGATCATTAATGGTTTGGGGACCTTCCTATAGCCAATCGATTCAAAATACAATATCCCTTTTGCATTCCAACCAATAGATGCTGGCCAGGCAGGAATTACCCCTGCCTTGGGCATGTTGGGGGGGGGGGACCAGAATCTTTAAATGACCCAACTAACCTGAGCACCCGGCTCTCGGCTCTCACCACTTCAGCGGTGGGGGTGTGTGAGCCCAAGCTGCAGCTTGTAATGATTTATAATAAAAAGATCCTCATGTTTTTTTGCAATGGACTCGGCTACTGGTGGTGGTCTTTTGGGGTATGCAATTCAGCCACAACATTTTCACTATGATCAATGTGAGTGACCAAAATAACCATATGTCCAGCACCCTCAGAAGCTCACCCACCTTCCTCTGCAGCCCTTTCTTCTCATTCCCAATCAAGCAAGTATGATTCTGGCACTACAGACTCTACATTTTCTAGTTACCTTGTCTTTTCCTTTTGGTCTTTTTGTTATTTTTTTTTCTCCAGAGCTGAGGACCGAACCCAGGGCCTTGCGCTTGCTAGGCAAGTGCTCTACCACTGAACTAAATTCCCAACCTCAACTCTACATTTTCTACACTTTACAGAGCTTGAAGTCCTCCTGGCTCGAGTTTGTTCATTCTGTGTAATTACTGTGCATTTCAGCCATGCTGCAGGACCCTCACTTTCTTGCCTTTTATTTTTTATTTATTTATTTATTTATTTATTTATTTATTTATTTATTTATTTATTTGCCAGGTCGAGTTGAGAATCACCAATCTGGATGATGAGTCCAGACTACCAGCAGTCACTACCTATTCGAGGGTAGGAGTTCGTGCCTTAGAAATATGGCTGTGAGAGAGAGAGAGAGATAGTGTGTGCCAGAAATCCAAGGATGCTCTGGGAAGGCAAGTAAACACACATGCAGGCACACGTGCAAGTGAGGTCAGGACCACGTCTGGAGATGTGATGTCAGGAAGAGGCTCCACAGAACTCAGCTTTTGGCTGCACTAGGATTCAATGAGAGACAGGTGGTATCTGGTGAGAGGGCAAGACAATGTCCTGGGAGGATGGAAAAGCCAGCCACAGCAACTGTAGCCCATGCCTGGGCAGCTTTTCCTGGAGCCCTGGATCAGCCTGGGGCAGCACATGGCCAGACTATGAGGTAGGATCTGAGTAAACTGACTCCAAAGGGCCTATAGCTGGGTGTAGTGATGCACTCCTTTAATGCCTGGGGAGGCAGCGGTGGCAAGTTTTTGTGTGGGTGCATGTGTGTTTATGAGTTCAAGGCCAGACTGGTTTGCATAGTGAATTCCAGACCAGCCGGAGTTACTTGGTAAGGCATTGTCTCAAAAAACAAAACAAGAACTGTGGAGAGCCGCTCCTTAAGCTGCATTGCTATGTTTTCATCTTGGCCTTTACCTAGACAAAGAAAGGAGGAAGTTCGCCAAATTCCTTAAAGGCATGTTCCAAATTCCTTAAACGCTTCTCTGTGTGACCTTGGACCATAACTGCTTTAGGGAATTAGTTTTAGCCGCTATAGGAAGATAGTTTTTGAAATCTAAGTTGGGCATTTCCATGAACCTTTTCTTTTTGAATTGATGTGACTTGTTTTTGTTTTATGTATAAAAAATGAACCCTGGAATAAACCCATGCTGCTGTTGCTGCGTCAGTCAGACTGACAGACAGCCCTCTCAAGCCGTCCTATGTATAGTGGGTTTTCTTTTAATTATTTTAAATCCTCACTCCCCACTCAGGTACTGTTTGACTCCGCCAGCAGGCTCCTGCAAAGAACAAACCTCCAGACAAACCAAGGAACCACACAAAACAGAAATAAAGTGGCTGCAGTCAGGTCTGGTGCTAAAGTAAGGGTAAATGCTCTTGTCCACCCAGGCTGCTTGCAGTTTGCTACAAAGGAGAGGCTGTACCCTATCAGATAGAACTCTACCCCAGGCCCCTCCTCCACCACCTGCTGATTCTCACAGGGAACTACCCCACAGCCAGGGCTGTTGTGAATGGTCCTATGTCACTCAGGATTTTTTTCTAGGAATGCAGGAAAGCTGGGGCTCTGGTAATGACAAGTGGAAGGGATGAAAAGGAAACCTAAGGAGCAAAGAAGCTAGCTTCATGCTAGCCTGAGGTTTCTCCACCCTCGCTAGTTCTAAGGACATGGGGTCTCAACTCCAGCTCCAGAAACACCCTGTCTGTTTGGCTTTATCTAGCTCATGGGCTCACATTTAGAAATAGTCAGACTTTCCCGTTAGCAAATCACTCTTAGAAACTCCCAGAGGCTCAACAGGCACTAAACGAAAGCACAGGCGGGACATGGGAGACAAGCTCTTTGGTTTACGTTCTTGGTCTTTTTTCTCTCTTTTTGGTTTTTTGAGACAGGGTTTCTCTGTGTAGCCCTGGCTGTCCTGGAACTCACTCTGTAGACCAGGCTGGCCTCGAAATCAGAGATCTGCCTGCCTCTACCTCCTGAGTTCTGGGATTTAAAGGGTGTGCCCAGCTACATTCCTTGCCCTTGCCCGGGACCCTCCATCTCAGGAGGCTGATGTAGCTCGGCACCCAGTGTGACCACCAGTGATGTCACCAAGGGCCATGGGAGTCACAGTACAGGCTCAGGACACCAGGTGATGGAGGCCCGTCCTGCCTTCACAACTTTATGTGGCCTAGAGAAGGCTCCATTACCTCTCTTGTTCTAAGGCAGTTGTTTTTCAACCTTCCTAGCACTGTGACCTATTAATAGCGCCCCTCATGTTGTGGTGGCCTCCAATTATAAAATTATTTTCATTGCTACTTCGAAACTGTAATTTTGATACTTGTTGTGAATCCTAATGTAGATGTCTGACATGAGACCCCCAAAGCGGTCACGATCCACAGGTTGAGAACCACTGCTCTATGGGAATAATAACAGAAATTAATACTTAGGGTTACTAGTTGGGTTTTGAATGATGTTCCTGGTCTCAAAAGATCTAGCCAGTGCTATGAGAAAACTTAGCTGGTAGGACACAGTCAGACTAGCCCTTCCTGTAGGGCACGGCTTTAATGGGCAAGCTCTAAGCCATTTACAAGTAAAATCCCAAGTAGGACATTTGAATAATAACCAATCATCCCTATACCGAACACATACAATCTCAAATATTCCACATCTGGTTAACTTTTCATGTGCTGACATCATACTGTAAATAGAAACTCCCACACCTGGCTCCATGCCAGGGTCCAGTCAAAACCCTCACACTGTATATATGAGGTGCACACAAACACATTTCAACATTCAACAAATTTTGGGCTTAATCAAATAGGAGTCGCATCTCCCAGATAAGAAAACACTGCAAAAGTCAAAAAACCCTAAACTCCCTGACACTTCTGGTCGCAGGCATTTTGGATAGGGCTGCTCACCCTGCATCTGGCGCTTTAGGAGGGGGCAGCAGAGCGGGTGGTTTAATCTGAGGCAATCTCTGAGGTTCGTCAGACATCTCTGATTCACAGTTGCAGGACTCTGAGGAAGGAACAGTTAGGTCCTTCAGCTGTATGTGAGACTGTGCTTTGAAACCTTACCATCTTCCGGGACGGTGTAGTTGGCATACTCTGGGAAATAGTCTTCAATTTTTGACTTCCCTGCCAAGACTTTCTCTGCCAGCATATCTTGTTTGTTCAAGAACAAGATGATGGAGATGGTCCGTAACCACCTAGGAAGGACAGAAATCCACACCAGTTTCACCGTAGCTTGTGGAAGTGCTGATCACTTGATGTCAGTGACGTTCCAGTGATGTGGTTTAGGGGCAGGAACTTGCCCAGTCTAAGGCCCTGAGTTCAACCCAGCCCCAGCTCTGTGAGACAGGCAAACAAAGAGGTGGTGGGGAAGTGGGCCAACACTGTTATCTTCTGGAAACTGACTTGCTATCATTTGTACACTATTATTCACACACTCTGCACTGGCAATTACCAAGCCCCCCCCCCCCCCCCCCCCCCCGACTTAGCAGCTCACTCTTTCTCGATGAGCCTGTTTATTGGTAACAAAGTGGAGCTCTAAGCACGCAATGAATACACTTGGGCTTCTGTGATGTAATTTTGGGGTTTGATGGGCCAGAAGACTCCAATGGGAGAAGTTAAAATGTTACTAGAGTACCAAATGACCCATTAGGCAGAAACAAGGAGCTTAATTAGCAGTCAGTATGGGTCTTCGTTTGTCTCATCTCCTCTTAGCACATAGGAAGAGGGGTGGAGCAAGATTTCCTACGTGGTATCTGAGAAGCTAAAGGGATGAGGCCCAGGAACAGAGGTGGTAAGCTAGCCAATGGGAACTTAGTTGTCAAGTAAACAAAGCCCTCTGAAATCCCACAAGGTCTAAGAGATCAGTCCATAGGAACCTGACAACAAATGTAAATGCAACTCACTTCCCCCTCAGATTCATTAGCTTTGTTTTTCTTCCACTTATGTAATTTTGTAGATGCTATACAAAGAAGCTTAAGTTAAAGAAAAACATATATGATCAAATGCATTATATCAAATGATAATTACCATTAAAATTTTATAACTTTATACCTAGATTTTATAACTTTATACTTAGATTTTTTTATTCTCATGCATACTTTAAGACAAGATTATATATATATTATATGTTATATATATATATAAAACATATAATCTCTCTCTCTCTCTCTCTCTCTCTCTATATATATATATATATATATATATATATATATATATAGTCTCTCTTTGATGAGGTTTTGTAGCAAGACAGTTCTGCCTTCCTGAGTTCTGGGCTTAGAACAGGCAATCTTCTTTCCATACTGCAACAATGTCGGTATTTTGCTGTGTGTATTCATGGACAACCGCTCCAAAGCATGTTTCCGCATACCTGGTGCTTCCTGATGCTCTTTCTTTCCCCTTAACTCGGATACCATAAAGGAGGAGCGTAGTGGAGCAATTGACAGAGAGAGATTTATCCAACAATACAAACCCTAAATTTTTAGAAGAATATTTATCTAATGTTTATGAAAGTTTTATCTGCATGTATATGAGTGTACCATGCGCATGCCTTGTGTGCCAGCAGAGGCCAGAAGAGGCTGTCAGAGCTCCAGGGACTAGAGTTACAATTTTCAGAATTACCATTGCTAGTTATCACGTGGGTCCAGAGAATCTTCCTGAGTCCTCCAGAAGAGCAGCTAGTGCTCTCTCACCTATGCAGCCAGCACTCCAGGCTCATACAGGTCAATTTTTATTTTTCTTGTTAACGTATGAGAACCTGGTTTTGAAGGGCATGAGTCTGCAGCAGAGTGTATGTTGGACACTTGTTTCTGACATCATCACTTCTGCTGCCCCTATGGAGTCTGGGAATATCAAAGGTATGGCTTTGAGCTGTAGGGATCCTAGAGACCATCTAGTCCTCACTGAGCATTCTAAATTGGCTTCTTAAAACAAACAAACAAATAAACAAACAAACCAGGCATGGTGGCACATACCTGCAACCCCAGTAACTAGAGGTTACTAGAGAGAGGCTAGAGAACCGAGAGTTTAAGGCCAGCCCAGGAAATGTGGAAGATGCCAGGACAAAGCAAGCAAATGAAACTAATTTTGAATTCCAGATATAACAGACTGAAACAGTCCTAAGCGAAGCGCCTGTAAGAGCTCCATCCCAGAATATTCCCTGTGTTAAGTATGTCTGCCTGATGGGACTTACATGTATATGTGCACATGTGTTTGCAGGGAACAGTGGAAGCCAGAGACCGATATCCAGATTTTCCAAAATCATTCTCTATTTAGCTTTGAGACAAGGTCTTTTCCTTGACTTGGAGTTTGCCATTTTGGCGAGGCTGGTTGGCCAGGGAGCCCCCAGGATATGCTTGTCTCTGCTTCCCTGTTTTTGGGTTACAGGTGCTCATGGGGATGTTCAGTATTTAAATTTCAAGTCTTCAAGCTTACATGGCATGTGGGTTACCCAGTGAGCCATCTGCTCAGCTTCATGCTTTTGTTCACAGGGTCTAGCTACGTAGCCCAGGCTGGCTTTGAACTCTGATCCTCTTGATTTAGCCTTCCTAATAGTACAGGTATGTGCTGACATACTTGGCTAAATCCAGTAGTTTTAATTAACAACAATGACAACATCTGTAGTCTTCTGAATGTATTTTTAATAAAAGGCCTGCGATGCAGTGCTGAGGCTGAATTTATTTGTCACCTGTTGTTCCAGATGCTTTCAAACAAGTCCAGTGACTCCCGCAGTCTGTTGGTGTTGTTGTCTTCCCGGATCACCATGTTGTAGCTGCTGCAGGCGGCCACATAAATGATGGCAGTCACATCTAAGTTGGGGCAAAGAGAGAAAGGGAAGCACTTTAGAGGGACAATGTCAGCTTTTTTGGGATTATGACTGCTCAGGTCCCAGACACTGTCAGCTGGGGACTGTCTCTACCATGACCTGAATATAGGCTGTCTTGACCCGGGGTCTATCCAAGAAGGTAACTGGAAATGTGAGATGTTTAAATATAAAGAACATGGTTATGTATAACAATTATATTTGTTTATAATTATATATATAACAATTATAATTTACACATAGATTAAGAGTTTGTCTGATCAAAACACAGCTAGACAGTGGTGGGAGCTAGCATCTAGCCCTCTACGAAGCATGCAAATCACCATTAAAGCACTGGATCCATTTTCTTCTCTCATCCCTCTGGCCACCGACATCAAACATGCTACAGAGAGAAACAGAGGGACACCAGTTATCCAGGGAAACTGGGATAAAGGGCACGTTTTTACCCTTCTCCTTTATTGTAGAATGACCAGCTGCTCGTGAGGCACTTCATGTGTCTTAGCCCTGGATCTTGAGCTACAAGTCATGCAGCCTAGCCCAGCTTGAGTTCCTCCTCTTTTGTTCTATGTTGTGGTTGTAGGAGCCAAGAGCATGGCAGAGAAACAGCTGTCATGGCGTCTAGAGACATATAGTAGGTGTCTAATAGATGTGGCGCTTCCTGGTTTATGCTACATCTCGTGCCAAGTGCATATGAAGTCTGTGCTCGGGCAGATCGTTCTGCTAACCTGTGTCAGCTTCAGAAGACAGTCTTGCCCTGGGGAAGTGGGAAGGGCTTCTGACCCAGCTACACCCATAGCCCTCTCATCACCAGGCGCTTCTGTCCAGTGACTGGCAGGAGGGCTCTGTCACCAGCATTCTGGCAGATGAGGTTCTCCATCTGTTTGGCTCAAGTACCCATGCACAGCTTCCTTGCTGTCCCTGCAGCTCATCAGGTAGGCCCTGGCCTTTCTTCTCATGTCCTCCTGCTCCTGGAGCTATGTCTTCCTGTGGATGAGCTTCTCAGTGCCCTTGCTGGAGCCTGCCCTGTATCCCAGTCCCAAGCCCTTCAGCCTTGTGGGTCCCATTCTTCCCAGAGGCTGGCAGCAGGCTGGGCCTTATACCCCCATCCCAGCCACGGACCATACCCTTAGCAATGCACTCACTGAAAGTTCACTTTGTCCACTTGGAATCTCGTCTCAAAAATTCCTGATGTCAGCACTCTGCATCTGAGGAGGTCCTGGGGCAAGAAGAGAAAAGTAAAGTGTGTACAGGTGTAAGTGTGGTAACTGAGAAATGACACTGTCTATTGTAAAAAAAGGGAGTAATTAAAACACAGGCAAACGCTCTGTTTTAGAAACTTCCCACAGTTAATCAGTTTGGCCCTTCACACAGGAACTGTGCTTTCATGCCTCGAAGGATGTTTTAGAAGTGACTCATGCCAACCTCAGGGCACAGGGTTCAGAACAAAGTCTTGGCCTGTGACTCCATGGCTGCACCTGGGAGTCTACTGGGAAGGGTCAGGTGGAAGCTGAACTCTCATTCATAAGTCAGGGATCTCAGGGCTAGAAGCTACTTCACTTTAGTGGGTTTCTTGTAACTTCCTTACATAGTTCTACTCTCTGTAAGATCAAAGATGGTGTGGTCTTGAGGGCATGGAAAAGCTAGGCAGCTTCACAAAGCTGACATCTCCATGTCCCAGGAAGGTGTCATTGTGCTATTTATGTCTCTACCTTCCCCAAAAACCATTGACTTCCTTGAGAACCTCACACTAAAGGATCATTCTAAGCTCTTTGAGTCAGCCATAGGAACAGAGACCCCAGAGAAGAAAGAGAAACTTTGATCTCCAGGGGACACAGAGGACAGAGGGTCTTCAGGAGATTCAAAGCCTAGGCCTCCAGGGCTTGCAAATGCTTGATGTGAGTTGAAACGAACACCCTCTTATGTTGTGGTTCACTAGCTCATTTTTCTCCTTTTGCTTTCTTTTCTTTCCCTTCCTTTCTTCTGTCTGGCTTTACCCAAGGGATACGCTTGTGGCATACCTGGATACGTGCTATGGTGCTTGGGGCTCAAGTATGGGGTTCAAAGCTGAATGAACCAAGTGTGCAAAAACAGGGAAGTAAAGACCTGGCTTTCTCAATGATGGTCCTAGGAAGCCCGGGAATCACAGACGCCTAGTCCATGTGGGATCTTCGTTCCATATCAGCAAGGGCTTGACTAGGCTTCATAGTACAAGATGGGGAGTGAAGGCTCAGGCCTTGGTGGCAGGACCAACACGAGGTGCACCATGGCAAGGAGCAAGCAGCAGTGATTATATTTTTCTTCCATCTTCTAAATAATGGAACGCTCTTGGCAGTCTATCTCAGAAGCTTCTGATGGCTCTGCTTTCACATACCTGGTCTGTGGGAGTGTAGTCAACCAGACTGACGCTGTCAATCCTTTCCAGGAAGCTGCAAGGGAAGCCAGTGCAAGGTTAGACCTGTTCTCTGGTCACTTTATCCCAGGGCCTGGGGCTACATTAATGGGACATTTGCAAAGTCACCATGTGGACAGGCCTAGGTGCTGATACATATCTGTCCCAAGGGGAGGCTAAACCCTGCATTCTGTTTGTGCTATTCTGTCCTTTCACCTCTGCTTTCCTTCCTCCTTCCCTCTTCCCCAGTCCTGGAAAGTTGTTAGTGATGGCTGCTTTGAAACGGAGAGGGAGGATGAATCCCCCTTTTCAAGGCCAACCTAGTAGGAAAAGGAGTTACAATGTTACTACAAAACAGAAAGCAATGTTTCTAGTGAGGACAAAAAACAATGTGGGTGTGAAAGTCTGAGTGTGCATGAAGTTGACAGTATGCTGTAATTACAGTTTGCATGTGTTTGTGAGTGTGTGAATGAGGTGTCAGTGTGAGCAATGGTGTGAGGGCACGGAAGGATGAGCGTGAGTGTGTGTGGTGAGAAAGTGTCTGAAGATTTCTTCAGTACACTTAGCAGCAACTCTCAATGTAAGTCAGTTCAAGGGCAGGGCATGTAGGGTGTGGCAGATGAATCAATATGCTGCCATCTTTCAAGCCCTTCCTGTTCCTAGTAGCAGGACACTTCCTCCTCCTGCTCTCGGAGGCAAGAGCCTATTTCACATGGGAGCCGTTGTCTCCAAGAGGCCTGGCTTCCCAGGTTCTGGGAGGGACCTAGAGCTCAGGACTTTGTCTTGGGGACTCTGAGGTCCCCAACACTTAGTGAAGTGCCTAGTTGTCAGGAAATAGCTATGGAAGGAACAGACATTCACTCTTCCTTCAACTGAGAGGAGGAACAATGAGCAAGGGCCTTGACAAGAAGGGCTGGAAGGAGCTAAAGATTAAATATGAATCTGGTGGCTAGAGTCAGAGTTAGCTTAGGAAGCAACCAATTTAAAACAGGGTGCACCCAAGGTGGAGGCAGGTGGGTGAAGATAATGTATTTGGGTGATAATTATTACAAGGAGAAAGGGTGAAAAACGGTTGACAAAGAGTACATCTGAGGTCTTGAGGTAATTAAACACTGCCTTCCAGAGGAAGTAGTGGGAGGGGAGTGGTTGGAACCTTCCTGAAATGAAGCCTGCTAAAGTTTCAAGACTGAGATGCCGAAATGAAAAGGCAAAGATGCCTCAGTCTTCCCCTCTCTTCTTTCCAAGCTTCTGTCCAGCTGACCCTTGGCCTAGGTCCAAGCAGCCTGCAGAAGTGCTTCTTCAAGTTAAGGCTTGTGCCTAACTGGACAGAGATTTTAGAAAGTTCTTCAAGAGTTGTAAGTCTCCTTTATTGGGATGTTACAGTGAAGCAGAGAAAACTGGGCCATCTAGGGATGTCTCCTGCAAATGTCTCTTTGGGGTTCAGAACCCTACACAGAGCTGCAAAACCGCAGAAAACTTCAACCATAAACTAACTAGTGTTGTGGATGGGAAGTAGGAATAAGACTGTTGCTGTAGGTTTGTAATCTGAGGCTATGGCAGAGGAATTCCGAGTTCAAGGTTTGCCTGAGCTACAAAGTTGATGAAGACCAACTTGTAACCTTAATGAGATTCTGTCTCAAGGAAAAAAGCAGGGGGAAGAAGACTGGGAATACAGCTCAGTGGCAAATGCTCATGTGTATGAGGGTCTTGGTTAAAAACCCAGCACATCAAACAGTGCCTCCTCACCCCACCTTTTAATTTTTTATGCAATTTTAAATGATTTGTTTAAAAAAAAAAAAAGCGCAAGCTGTAACTGTTTGGAGACCCTAAGGAATTTTCCTCTGAATCATGATACTTACCTACAAGATATAAAAGCACTGAGAAATAAAAATATCCACATGGTGAGAAAGGACCACGGCTCTGGCCTGTGCTCACTGTACTGGCCTTACCTGTCTGCCTGTGGTCAGCAGGGAACTCTGCACACTGCCACAAGCACTATGTAAGGCTTGACTCTGAGACATTGCCAGGAGCCTACTGTATGACTGGATTCTGTCTGGGTCTGCTCCCTGTGGGACTGACAATGTAACCGTAGAAAACGAACTTGGGGAAAGCCAGCAGATAGCTTACTAGACTGGGTAGTGGAAGGAAGGAAAGACTAGGCCCTTTCATCAGTTTGCTTACTGTTCCCTGCTTTGCTGGTAGTTTTGAGCTACGTTTTGACAGCAAAAGGCCCCAGAAGGATATCCTCATGGATTGCAGTGAAATCATTCACTAGTGATTACATATAGATTGGGTTAATAGGTTCATCAGAGTTGACTGGTACTCCCCTTCTCCCCTCGCCTCCTCCAATCAAAGGCAGTAAGTAGGAGGAAAAGTTCTGGTAAGAATGTTCTATGTTAATAACACACCTCTGGGGCCCTGCACTAAAATAAAGTAATATAGGAAAGTTGCGTTTGCACATCAATCTGTCTGTTTTCCCCTCCTGTTAATTCTAAAACCCAGCTTAGAAAAAAAAAATTATGCTCATGAAGAAACATTCAGAGTAAGAATATCAAGGTTTCCCAAAATATAGAAGAAAATCCAGATGAGAATTCAGGATTGAGGGCAAGTTTGGAAAAACAGCATGCTTAGAACCAAATATACTTCTGAGTTCTCCTTCAGTTTTTCTCCCCTCCACCCCTTTTTGTGTGTGTGTGTGTGGTGCTGGAAATCTAGCTCAGGTTCTTATGGATGCTAAGCATTCATTCTATGCTGAGATCCATACTCATCTGTAATAATAAAAAACACATTTATCCAATTTTCATGTTTTAAAATTCACAACTGCATCCATTCCAAAAGCAAGGAAATAACTCATGGGCCTGTAGAGCTTTTGAAAATAATGTTTATGATTCATAAAAATGTACATTTATACGGTAAGTATGAAATGAACATATTTTTTAAAATTTTATTTTATAGGCTTTAAAGCACGAGAGCTGGGCAGATATCAACCCTGTAAGCTATTGTGCTACTTCCCAGCTATATACCCCATGTTAATTGGAAATGAACATATTTTAAGATTTTATGCATATATAGTATTCTTCAATCTCACAAAATACATTTTGATGGAAATACTTGCAATATAAAAGGGTCTTCAATTTAACAAGGAGTCAATACTAAGCTATTTTTAAAAGTTGTAATTGACCAAGATTTTCCAGTATAAAGGATTAAGACACATGCTGTATTCACACACACTTGACTCAGCACAACTGTTTATATAAGATGATACATTGTCTGCGAAAGGACCTTTGAGAGAGGATGCTGGGTAGTTAAGAGTTGTTCCAAAAAGCAGACTTGTGAAAAAAAAAATGCGTATATATGAACACATACACCTTAACTGAGTGCCAGTACTCATCTGTGTATACTTTTTTCATTAAACACTCATTCACATGAAAAACCACACTACAATAAATTTTTTAAAGAGATTTTCTTGTCTGAAACATTGGATTTCTGTTAACGGAAAAAAAGAAAACCTCAGGAAAATGTGAAATTAAATAAAGCAAACTCTGTACGTACTTAACTTCGGTTAGTACACATGACAAGCAAATACAAATTGTTCTCCGAGTTGTGAGGACAGAACAAAGTGGGGGTTGCTTTCCTTTCCACGGAAGGCTATAAAGGCAGCTGGTAGTGGAGGCTTCTAGCCTCTATTTCCATCTAATCCCAATTCCTTTGTCCTAGACTTCTACCTAGCTAAAAGTACATTTACGTTTTGTATATCTATAGCATTAACTTGGGCTTTTTGCGGTTTTAAAAGAGTTGCTGCTTTAAGATAAAATAATACATACAAATAGAACTTTAAAATGCTGTTCTAATTTTATTTATATTTTTGGTTATTAAATAAAACCAAAACCTATAATTACACAGTTCCAGGGTTTACCTGGACCAAATCAGCAGTTCTTTGGCAATTTTAGGCATGTAATAGGACTGCCATATTGATGAACATTATTTTGATCAAGAGTCTATAAAGGGTTGACTTTCATTAGAAAACAACTAGAAATTATCAAATGTTAAGCCTCCTGAGTCTTAAGAACTATTGGTAAATAAAATATAAATGAACAAATTTAATTTTTAATGAGGCATTTTCCCCCAGTTACACAAACTCCATTATTACATGAATTAACAGAATGTAGAAAGTATTTTGCAAAAATCTTCTAAGGTAACTTCAGTATAAGTTACGAGAATATATTCATAGTCAATTACAGTCTTTCTTTGATAGCAAAAACAAAGAAAACCAAATGATAAACACAAAGAATATTTTCCAAGAGTAAGTTGAACAAAGTGTTTACATATGTTACTAAACTATGTACCCTTTCCTCCTTCTTTTTAATGCACCATTTGTCAGTCTATGTACCATCAACCACAGTATAAAGAAAACTTCAATCTGATAATTCTAAGTGAAAACGGAATACACGAGGACTAGAGTTCTGCCGATTTTTTTTTCTAGATTTATATACAGCAAAATAACCAGTTCTGTTAAAAGGCAGCTATAAAAATACACATCACCATAAGCCATGAAGAGCTTTAAAATCCAGTTAGAAGTGGAGAAAAACTGGAATTTCTTAACGTATCTGGAGAGCGCTGTAAACCCAAAGGTTCTTAGCAGAGTGTTCAGGAGTCTGGCACAATTTTAGAGCCTCTCTCTAAAGCAGACAGAGCGCGTCAAAAGGAAACCTCGGACTGGTTCGGCCGTCACACTTGATCCCGAAGGCGGGCCAGCCTCTGGGACAGTTCATCCTGCTCAGCCGAAGCCACGCTCGTCCCCACGGAACCGGTCTGGCCCTGCGGCAGCTCCATGTTGAGGTCGAGGCCCGCCTCGTCTGCCATTTCCTGGAGCAGCATATCCACTTGGTTCTGGGGAGTGGTCAGCGTCGTCGTGCTGCTCATCGTGTCCTCCATTTGCTGCGTCTGGACGTCCAGGGTCTCAAACTGGTGCTCGAATTTGTCCATCAGGGCAGAGATCTTCTCCAGATTCATGGTCTTCAGTGTCACATCCATCGACTTCACCACACCGGCCATGGACTTGGTCACTTTGCCCATCGTCACCGCGGTCTGGACTCTGGCAGCCACCGCATCCACTCGGGCACTCATTCGCAAGAAATTCACCGCCTGATTCTTCTGGCGGATGGCGTTTTCGGCGTGTATCCTCGCAACTTCCATGTTGCCCTTCTGAATGGCCTTTTTAATTTTGGCCTTCTCGGCCTTTTCCTCCTTGTCGCATTTTTTGGCACTCCTGTTCAGTTCTTTGGCCGCGAACTTCAGGTTGAACAGGTGTTTCTCCATGTTGGACATGGTGGTGCGGCTTCTGTGGGGTGGGCCGGGGCGAAGCAGCAGGAACAGCGGCGAAACAAGGTCCGCACCCGGCCAGAGATCCTTTGTTTTGGTCCCACTTCCTGTATCTATGGTGCGCGGCGCAGATAGTGACGTCAAACTAGGCGCCGGGGCGGGGCCCGCTGGAGACCGACCAGACCCTTGGGAGGGCGGTGCGGGAGTGAGGTGCCGGAGTGACGGACAGCGCCTGGCTCCTCCCACCAAGGCGCCTGCCCCTTCGCTGCGGGAGTTACCCTGGCGTTGGCTCTCACGCTGTTCCGCCTAGTCTGCAAGGCAGCTGAACTGGGAGCAAGTTCGCAAAACCAGCGCCCACAGGCACTTCCGTTTGGGATTGTAAGCTACGGGAAAAGACGGGATGTGTCCAGACCTGCACCTAAAAAAATACCCAGGCCCCGAACTTGACCAGCTAGGGCTTGGAGTTTGGGCGCTGCGCTAAAATGCTGCAAAATAGCAAGCCTTTCCCCCTCCACCCCCACCCCGCCCGACTAAAGCTCTCTTTATGCGCGAGGGTAACCTCCGCTTTCTCAGGGAACACAAATCCAATCCTGGAAGACAAAAGCTGCGCAGGGCCTGCGTCTTGCAATCTCTGCAGGAGCTCAGATGTCTCCTTCCTGGCCTAACTCCACGCCCTGGCTGGTAGCTCAGTTTACAGGGAGAGCTCGCTGGCCGTTGCCATCCCAAACCCTCCTGCTTCTGAGCAACAGAAGGACCCACCTTTTTGCTGGTACGAATTTTATCTTTCTAGCGTCTTATAAATATCCAAGGAGCTTTGCTCGCATTGAATTCTGACAGGTTATCTGCCATTTTAGATTATGCAGGAACGAATGGTGAGTTGCAGAGCCCCACACACTGGCATACATCAAGCCTGTCACTGCCTGTTAGATATTTTAAAAATAAATGCAGGCTTTCCATGGCAGCAATGTGTGCTGTCACTTCCTTTACAAACATCCCGCCCACACAGCAGTAACAAGATGGCCCACTGCCCTCAGGAGTTAGCAGAAGATACTGAATATGTGAGCAAATTCTGTTTAGAGATTATTTTAATCCAGGGTCCTGCATCACTCATGTGATAGCTTGTCAATCAGTTAGAGTGAGCGGGTGCCACAGGCTCTGACTTACATCATTGTTCTCCACGACAAGGCACACAGGCTACCCTCCCTTATAGAGGTTCTGTTCCTGTGCCAGTCCAACCGGACTGAAGAATGGAAATTGTTCAGGATTTGTGTCACCTGACCAAAGTACAGATGGAGGAGAAGGGACCCCTTCCTCCATTGCCTGCACCTACTGCCATCCCCTTCTCCCATGGAGCCTTCCTAGGCCCCCTACTGTGGTGCAGCTGAATTCTGTAAGGACATATGCCTGGCTCACATCTGGTATGACATTAACTACCGGACAGGAGGGAGCACTATTCTGCTGTACCACTGGGCAAATGGGTGCTGGCAGGGGTGTGGCTGGGACATTATCCTAATCAATAAGCTTAGCGCTCACCTCCCAGCAAAGCTCTTCCTCCAAGGGAAGCTTTTCTAGAAATGTCGTGTATAAATGTATCAAAAGTGAGAATAGATGGTGTTTTGAGCTTTTCTGCTCACCCTCACCCTACCCTTCTCCCCCCCTTTTGCCAGACCTCTGGCCTTTCTTGCAGTTCACAAACAAGTCCCTTGTCAATGATCCCTACCTCCCTCATCCGCCCTTTTACTTTTTCTTCCCTTCCTCCTTGCTTTTTCATGGGCCTGGGGATGAAATGTAGGGCTTCATGCATACTAGACAAACTCTATACTGAGCTACATCCTAGCCCTGTAACTTTCTTCATAATAGATTCTACCTTGGTGGGATGGTCTTGGATACAATCATGACAAACTGACAGGTGGAGCTAATAATGACTACCACTGCTTACTAAATGCTAAACTGCTAGGCATTGTTCAGCACATCCCATAAATGAGCTCATTTTATCCTCACATGGGGGTAGGTAGACACTATTAATAGCTCCATTTTCAGGCAAGGAACCTTAGCATGTGGAGCTAAGTGACTTGGCAGAGACCACACCTCTTGGTTAAGTGTTGACCTCAGATTTCACGGACACCCCCAGAAGCAGTAACAAATCAATCCAGTGCAGATAACAAGAACAAAGAAATCTCAGCGACGAGGACGTCCATCAGTTGTGACCATGATTGCCCATCATCTGCAAGGCCCTAGGTTCCATCCCCAGCACTACACAGCTGTACTGCCAGCCCCTGGGAAGGCAGAGGCAGGAAGATGCAAAGTACCAAGGTAGCCTGGGCTCCTCAGTGAGACCTGGTCTCAAAAACCCAAATACAACAGCAACAAAACAAGCGATCATCACTTATCCTAGAAAAATAGATCGACTACGCTGCTGTCCCCTCGAGAAGACTAAGTGAGGTACCAATTGCAAGGGTGATGTAAGGTGTGGAACAGGCATTCGATGGAGCTACACTCGGAACCACAGCCGGACTACTACCCAATGTGGGTGGAGTCCAGGAGCCCCATATCCAGAGACAGCAGCTACGCATAGGGACCTTGTCCCTGGCAGGTCTCTCCTCTCTGAGTAATGAAAGTGGTACTCCAGATGCTGCCTCTTTTCTTCCACAAATGCCCCATAACCTAACATGATCTACAGCTGATAACTCCTAGGCACACTCTTTGGCAGCAAGTCTTTACTCTGTTCCTGAGACTCCTGGCTCCTTGACACTGGATAATTTGTGAGGTAACACCACTAGGCAAATCTTTAGAGAGGCTGACCTCTGTCCTCATCCCTAGTTACATGCACCTCTGTCCAGCTAGATGCTTTGGTCAAGAGTCTCAGGAGTTATCTCTGAGGATGCTTTTATCCACATCTGTATTCAGCACATCCATTCTTTACAATCTGCATTTACATCTGGTCTTCAGGCTGGCATGTGTTCTTTCCTATATATCCAGCTGTGTGTGTGTGTGTGTGTGTGTATGGGCAGTTAAAAAATATAATGTGTGCCTTCTTATGCTGATCAGTAGAGTTGTGCTGGAATCTTCTAGTCTATGCCTATATTCCACAAGTATTTACTGAGCTCCGGGGACAAGGACAGTTCTCAAACCCTGGGCAATTTATAGTATCTTATTAGGTAGAGTATTTTATTTTCCTTGGAGTTTCTTTTCATGGAAGGACTCAGGGATGCTGGCCAAGCATTCTCAAGGAAATTGGTGAGGGAGGCAGATTGGCCATTTCTCTCTGGGAACCGCCAGGAAGAGCTCAGGGAAGTGTTCTGAGTAAATAAATAAATCCCAGGTCCCAGCTGGTAAGGGGGGTGGAGCTCAGTGTAGGGTTGCCTAGCATAAACAAAGTCCAGAAAAAAAAAAAAGCAATCAAGACCACCCCTCTCCCCACTCCAGCCCACACCAATGTTAGTGGAAAGCAACGTTCACTAGTTCTGTTCCATACACTTTGTTAGCAGCCTAGGACTGTATCTATTACAGTTTCATTTCCTAAAAGCTCCAGTCTGCTGGAGGAGTCCCCAGGGCTCTGAGAAGTGTGTACTTCCGGAGGGAGATGGAGATGGTCATCTTTTCTTTATCTGCAAGTTCTCCACATGTGCTCTAGCCAACTGTGCAGTGATACAGAAAAAGAAACCGAGTCTGTGCTGCACATTCGCAGGCTTCTCCCTTGTCCTCATTGCCCAAGGGCCCAGTGTAACCTGCACTCACACTACGTAGACCTCACAAGTCACCTGGGGGTGATTTAGTACACAGGAGGAAGTGCAAACACATCTCTCATTTTGTGAATACACAAGGAACTTCAGTAGCCACAGAGTTTGACATCTGAGGGACCCAGAACCAGCTGCCTGAGCACATAAGGGATAGCCACATTGGGTCAGGTCACAGCACATCTTAGAAAGGACCAGAGTGGGAAGCTGACCTTGTAGTCAATGTTAACATCACACTAATTTCTTAAGAGATCTGAAGCATCCTTAAATATATTCAGTTGGAAACAATACAGAATGAACTTTTTTGGCAAAATGATCTCTCAGGTCTTTTCTATCTTAGAAGATATATTTAGTCTTTGCTCACATCTTACTAGAAAGTCGCAGCAAAGCAGTTAGCAGTTACTGCCTGTGAGAGGCAGCCAGGGATCTTACATTTATTAGTCCAAGAAATAATGCTTAGCCCTACATTTTTATTAATATCAAATAGAATGTGAAATAAGGGCATTTCCTATGAACAGTGCAGTCCATAAGCAATTGGAAACTGTGTTTAGATTTCATTATATCATTTTGTTATCATAATACAACAATACTTTTTTCTTAAATGTTAACCATGGATATGAGGGACCCTAGTTATTATGTGATCCATGGAATTTTCCATAATAAAGTTATTTCATTCTAATAACTGGTGCATGTTCCAGCCTAGGGAACTGCTTTCTTCAATGTGAAATTTTCAAAGAGCGGCTTCCTTACATGCTAAAAGCCTTTCTAAAAGCTCTAATTGCATTACTGGAAGGAGGGAAAGTACTTACATAAGGCATCATTACAGCTTTCTATTGTCCCTGAGGCAGTAAGTACTTCTATTGGAAAGAAGGCTATGTAGAATAATCTTAGTCTTTATTTTGTGGTCCTGAGGATTAGACCCAAGCCTCATCCATGCTAAGTTCACTCCCTACACCTAGCTACACTAGCCACCTCTCCTCCAAGGCCATACAACTCAGATGACCTCATTCTTTTTATTCCTGAATAATATTTCATTCTATGAACATATATTTTGTTCGATCATTCACCAGTTAATGAATGCCGGGGTTTTTATTTAGTTTTTGAAGGGCTACGAATGATTCTGTAGGCAGACATGATGGCTTTAACTAGGTTAGCTTCATAGAAACACTACTTTTTGTATACATGAACATGGGAGATTAAGATAGTGGGGAAAGCAGAGAAAGCCTACCTATGACACATTCAGTTAGCATTTTATAGAGTGCCCACGACATGCTAAGTTATGTTCTAGCTGTGGTGAAACAGGAGGGCACCCCTAATTAGGCTCAATCTGTGTTAAAAAAAATTAAAGTGGAGAACCAAAAATTGGGAGGGAGATGGCTGA